CTGTAGTTGAAGAAGCTGACTTTTGCCAGTAGTGTGAAGCCTTTTCATGGGGGCAGGTGAAAGCTAACAGACTTGAGAGCCACTTTGCTAGGCTACCACTTTAATTCCAGCTACCCCTTTAATAATATTTAAAACTCACCAGCTTAAAATGTTGGCACTCCTTGGCGTCTTGCGTAGGGTTAAGCATTAGGGTTGAAGCAATTTTTTGGTGATGGAAGGTTATTTATCATCAGATGTCCTCTTAAAATTATTTTTAACTGCTTAAGCAGTTATTTTGAATTATAGGAGACATTCTTGAGGGGTGAGTTAGTGGGGAGAGGTGACGTGAGGTGAATCAGGAGTTCATGATGCAGGGCAGCACTTACTGTGTGTTAGGGAGATTGCTTCTTGTTTTTGAAGCAGAGACCAGTGTTCCTCATTCTTAATCATAGGTGAATGTAACGACACTATCTCCAGTATATTGCTTGATTCAACTGTTTATGTGGACAAAATGTGAATTATTACATCTGTGTATAAACATTAACTACAGTAAGTAAAAAGTGGGTTGATCTTCCCTGTAGTATCTATAAAACATGCCTTTATATGGCCGAGCAGCACTGAAACAATGATTCAGCATTTCAGTTCACGCTCAGTTTCTCTGAACACTCACCGAACAGCGCAGGATTATCAAATCAGGTCAGAACTCTTGAGTAGCACTTGTTGATCAGAAAAAAATGAAAGCATTTAGCAATAAATTATTAACGATTTAAGCAGTCGTCAGGCAGCCAGAGGTTAAGCAAAGTAGAGCTGTAAGCAAAGGCTCCAGCGGGGCTGGAGCTGGGAGGCCGCACATTGCCATCTACGGGCCGTATGCAGAAAGTGGCCGGGAGGTGTGCCGAGCATTATCTCTTGTGCCTGATATCCTACTGCAGAGTTTGGAAAACAAGAGCTGGGAGGAAGGTCCATATAAGGTATCACAAAGGCCGTTCATATTCCATTTTCTGTATTTAATAAAGGGAGCAATACTCAGCTTATCACAAAGCACTGCCTTTTATTTATTTTATTTTTTTTTTGACACAAAGTCCAATTGCCAATTAGTACTGTGAGTGGTTTTCTTTCAATTGACAAGATTCTTCAGCTTTCATCTGTTGTGAAACATGATCAGAAATTTACTGTCTTGCTAGCTAATGTATTAATGCAGGTGTTTGTCCTCTGCAGCTGTTCTGCCTTGTTCCGGCTTCACAAATGCATTTAATTGTGATGCTGATGGGAGGCTATATTTAATATTACTTACATTTCTGCAAAAGCATTGATATTTTTTTCATGAATAGATATGGAGGGGATGGTTTTAAACTAGAAGAGGGGAAGTTTGGGTTAGATATTAGGATGAAATTCTTTACTCAGAGGGTGCTGAAGTGCTGCCACAGCTGCCCAGAAAAGCTGTGGTGTCCCATCCCTGGAAGCACTCAAGGCCAAGTTGGATGGAGCCCTGGGCAGGCTGAGCTGCTGGGTGACCATCCTGCCAACAGCAGAGGGTTGGAACTGGATGGGCTTTATGGTCTCTTCTAACCCAAATCATTCTTTGATTCTGTGGTTTTGACATAATTGATTCTTCAGGTGTATGTGAAAATTATGTTTGAGGCTTGAGCCATTGGAATATCAGCATGAGGGTTTTCTCTATTCTTATTGTGCACTAAAGCACATCAGAACAAGCACACATGTGAGCAGTTGTCCACTGAAAGAAATTTATGTAGGATTGTTTGCATGGAAAAGTTACTTGAGCCAAGAAGTATTTTCACTTCGAACTCTGGTATGCAGTAAGAGGGGGGACATAATTGTAACTAGCATGATACATAAACTCCTTATTTGCATAATTGTGTCTGGCAAGAAACAGTAAAATGTAAATGATTTTACTCTAGAGAATTGTTTTCCCAAGGTCTGCTGATGTGCTGCTGTGTCATTCTGAAAAACAAACAAACACAGAGGCCCCAGAAATGTACGCTGTGCACTGGTTCATATGTAAAACACGCAGAAGTCTTCTGGAGGAATGAGAAGATACGAGTATAAAAATGTTATTGATTCAAAGTTCCCAGTTTTCATTCTTCATGTTGACTAGATTTATAAAGATTTTAGATATGTAAAATTTCATGTCTGCAGATTTGTTTGTCATGGCTTGTATTGAAATTGGCAGTTTCATAAACAGCAATTTCTTCAATTTCTATCCCACTTTCTTTCAATATTTTAGCTTTTCCTTGGACTCTGCTTAGCGCTGCAGCTGTGGTTTGTGTCTTCCTGCATCTTGCAGACTTCACCTCCAGATTTTTTCTTCAGTTTCCAATAAAAATTAATTGTTTTTATTAAATTGCAAAGACTGAGGTGGCTGATCTGTGGGTTAAGTGGGTGAATGTAGAAATTCAGTCAACTGCTTAAAACACTTAATATATTACCTGCCTGGTTATTTTATGATACCAAGTAAAGTCGCATCTTTATATCCATCATTAATGTACAGTTTTTTACAAAGAAATTCCTGTTTGCTTATTTGTTGCTTTGGAGTACCTGTTATGATGGGAATGAAGTGAAGAAGTAAAATCTGTTGCAGGCCTTTTTATAAGCTTGCAGCTGAATTGAATGTAATAGTATTTAATATTGTTTACAAATAGTAAAAAAAAATGCTAGTTACTTATTTCAAAGACAGACAAACAGAAACACTCAACACTTCTTCATTTGTAGTGATCTCTTGTTGGTTTGCTCTGAACTGTTTCGATCTCAGCATTGTTTGTTTTTATGCGTGTACCAAAAGGGAAGAAATAGGCACTATGGCCTCCTTTTAGTTCAGGCATTTTTCATGTGTGAAAGGGATTTCAGCTCTGTCATACATTGCCTGACGCCAAACAGATTATGTTGTATTTCCAGAAGCATTTAATCATCACATTCATTCTGTTTGCACATCAGTGAAGTCTTGGACTTGGACACACCATTTCAAGGTGCCTTTTTTCACTTGTTGTATAATGGAGGAATTGCAGCTTTTGTTCTGACAATAGATGTGTTGTAATTACCTAAATTAATCAAAGGCATTCTCAGTGAGAAATATTATATTATGTTTGAGCTATAGGAAATAATCAAGGAAATGCAAATTCACATGTACCAGAATATAAATCTCAGTCTGCCATCCACTGCCCACTGGCTGTTTTAGCAATGCCATCCTAATTTCTTTTGGTTTGCCTGTTTGTTTCTCCACATCTGGCTTTTTATTGTCAGAGAATTGGTAAAACTTGATGTAGGTGATTTACTATAATTTGTTTTACCGTATGTTATACAGTAGGAATGATGCATTATATTACAAATGATCATTTGTTATTATTCTTTTCCATTTATGATGTCGGTAATTTCTTTAATGGAGACCATTTTAACCCTCAGCTCAATTCTTATGCAAGAGTTAGACTGAATTTTGTCTGATTTCAGTATTCTGAGTATTCATTCAGTCTGTAAAGAATGAATAGCTCAGTTTCTTAGAAGACTGTGCAGCCTGAAATTGCTTTTCATTATAACGGCTTTGAGAATCAATTGAAGTTGATTATTTAGATAGAATAGGGTTGAAAAGAGTTGTTCTAGGTTTCCACAGGTTTGTTTGTGGTCTCTTTATATTCTACTTTGATTACTTGAATAATTAGAAAAGTTACATAATGCAAATGTGCTTGCTGGAGAAGTTTGGGAACGCATGAAGCTTCTGCAGGACATACTGCAAGAAAGTAGAATTCTGAGCCAAGAGGCAGGAGAGGTTTTGTATCTGTCCCAAGTATTTTAAAAATAATTATTTGGTGCTTTATGGGCTGTGTAAGGCTATTGTTGAAATTTGTGATTGTACTCAGTAAATCAGTGCATGCTTTCAGATAATCATTACAAAATTATGTTTTGCTCCAAAAGAAAATAAAAATTCAGAGGAGCAGCAAATTTTTCCCAAGACCCTGCACAGCAGTGTTAAGATTAGACAGCTCATATACATGAATTCATTTTGAAGAATGTTGGTCTACTGATGAATTTACTTTCAGAAGTTCACCCAGTTATATTTTGTGCTCATGATAACCACAGTTTCTAAGGCCCTTTTCTTTGCAAAGATGTCGATGTTCAGTCAACACAGAGCAATACTCCTGCATAATTCTCTCTCAAGACCGCTTTTCTGCTATGTTTTTTAGATCTCTCTGTGTGGTAGCTGTTAAAAAATGCTCACAAATACGTATTTTGCTTTGTGTATGCAGAGCTTGAGCCTTCTTTCTGTCTAAACTACTGTATGTAGTTGTAAATGTTACATCGTGTTTGTCCATTTCCATCCCTGTCAGAGATATTTTTGTAGAATGCGCTATAAAAATGACTTTAAAGCATGCTGTGTTTTTTTTCCTCTCAAGATTTTGGAGATTTCAAAAGGGTTGGATTATACGGTTTCTGTTTTATAGCAATTGAAGACTTTTTTTTTTTTTTTTTAACAAGAAAGTCTTAAGAAAGTATAGCAAATGTAGTTCTATCCCTGTATAAAAACATAGTTTTGTCTTTTTAGTAAATATTCAGCATGTTCAGAAGCTAAGCTGTTCCTCTTCGTGTAGATTTCTTCTAGTAAAACATAGTAGCCGGTTTCTGGTTTCTACAGATACAGACAGGACTAATACTTCGGGTCTTTGTAAGGTTAAACTTGAAATTTCCTCTCTTATTGTAATGTGTCACTTCAGAAATTGTGACTGTGATGGTAAAAGTTCTTAAAATTGGAGGGCTCGTTTTTATAGATCTTATTTTCTTTTGGTAAAACCTCTGTTATGCAGACGACGTCTGTTACTGATGTTTTAATGCATGTTTCTGTACGTTCTTGGGGTTCGTCTTCAAGATACTCATATCTAGCTGTGAATATTCATATAATTTTATTGTATCGTGGAAGTGTAATATAAGTGTGATATAAGGACATCACTGAATTTCAGTATTTGAATTCTAACATTGTGTCCTCTCTTTCCTTCTCCCCTTTGTGTCTGTATTAGGGGTTGATATAGAGGCAGCTCGAAAAGAAGAGGAGCGAATCATGCTTAGAGATGCACGACAGTGGCTGAACAGTGGCCATATAAATGATGTCAGGCACGCGAAATCTGGTGGTACAGCACTTCATGTTGCTGCTGCTAAGGGCTATACAGAAGTCTTAAAGTAAGTATGATTTAAGTGGAAATTTTTGATTGTCTGGTTGAGATATTGCAGCTTGCATTTGGTACGGTAGGACATCTGTCTTCTGAGGGTTGTAAATTTGGAAATTACAGTCTCTAGAATTGCCTTTTCCTTGAAGCTTGATTTAATGTTTTCAAGTACTCATAAATCTTGATGCTTGTAGTTTTCCAGATGTCATTCAAAATGTGAACTGAAAGTACATGATGAGCCTTAGGACTCAGAAAAAGTCGACAAAAAATCTTTACCCGCTTCTAAAGCCAAATGTGTTAACAAGTTTAATATCTTTTTATAATGCCAGCTAGCATTCTAGTTAAAGAGTATTTTCAAGATGCCTGGGGTAATTTGCATACACAGAGCAGAATCCATGCTCTAGACTAGAGGCTTTCAGACTTAAAAAATAAAGCATTTAGTTCTGCTGTTTTCGAGGTTGTTGAAGATCGTGACTCTTGAAGTCATTCATGGAAGTCTTCAGGCTTCTGGTGTCCCTCTGATTCACAGATAGCTTTTCAGTAACGTAATATAGCAGAAAGTATATGCAGTAATGGAGGTCTCATTTCAGCTTTTAGTGAAGTAGAACACCATACTTGATAATGCATTGCTTTACTGTGATTATAAATGTATTTGACTGTTTTGGCGGGACTAGTAATAATTACACATTGTAAAAATGAATGAAAAAGAGCACACACTGTGTAAGTATAGCTAAAGTTAAGATTTGTAAAGTTGTGCCAATGCCATAGTTGACTGACAGAACTTTTTTAGACGTTACAGGTGGTGCAGAGAATTGGAGTTCTGCTTCAAAAATAAACTGGATGCTTCATCATGATGAAAAGAAGTAATTCTGTTGAGAAGAATAATTTTTATTTTAGAGTAGTGTGCATCTGTAAGGGATTTATATTTGTAATTGTTGGGCTTATTTTTAACCTCTGTCAGTGTCTTTTCTGTAGTCCAGTCCATGTACTTATCCTAGGATGAGGGAAAACACGTAACCAGACAATTTTCTTGATGGTTTCAAAATAGCAAAAATGTGCTCTGTGAAGGATACAAGGCTGCAAGGGTTTGTGTGGAAGTTGTGGTGGTTATTACTTTAAGTATATTGTCTATTGAGTTATGAATGTAATTCTTTTAGAAGAACACGTCAAGGTTAGGTGATTTTTGTTAAGTATAGGGTGTGTTTCAGAGAGCTGAATACCATTTACACAAAGCTGTTTGTCAGGTTGAGTGTCTGTTGTCACTTCAACACTCACTTCAGAGCTGTACCAAATTCATGTGTTAAATGCATGCTGAAAAGCAGATCTCCCATTTGAGGAGTTCTGCTACTACTCAGAGAACAAGCATGTGAACACTAGGTTGTTACAGTGTCAAATGTTAGCGGCAGGAGATGCAAGCTTCAAGCAATTAATGTTAGAATAAAAGGAAGTTTTAATAATTTACTATATAAGAACTCACTAGCAATTTTTGACATTTCACATTCCTTGAAAAGGCTTTTCACCATTGCTGCGCATACAGAGAAAAATACCTACTATATAGGCAGAATGGAATTTGAATGAGAAAGAACTAAAAAAGAAAACAGAAAAGGATTTTTTTTTGCTTGAATTTTCCTTAAAAGTAAATATGATGAGCACAGGTGTTTCTGGGAGGAAATAAAATTAATCAATTGACATTAATGCAACTAAGATATGTATAGTTTACGAGAAAGGAGAAAGGTACTGCTGACCAGTATTCCGTTATTTTACAGCATTTGCCATCTTTCTCAGCACTGTCAAGAATTAATTCTCTGAATTTCTTTAGGCTTTTAATACAGGCTCGCTATGATGTAAATATTAAAGATTATGATGGCTGGACACCACTTCATGCTGCTGCTCACTGGGGTAAAGAAGAAGCATGTCGCATTTTAGTGGAAAACCTTTGTGATATGGAGGCTGTCAACAAAGTGGTAGGATTTTTATGTAATCCTTGTCAAGATACAAAGTTCTGGTCTCTAAAGTGACTTTAGAAGCCAGGGTAAGAGAAGTGATGATAAACTGCTGTTTACTGTACATGGAGCTTTATATAGTGCATGTTTTGTCAAAACAGCATGTTTGTGTCTATAACTAAATTCCCTGATTGTACAAATTAGTTTCAAGGCCTACTTTATACTCATTTCTATATCATATGATCCTGAAATTCAAAATAGTTTTATTGATATTTTGGACTTATGAAATTATTGACTAGATAGACTGCAAACAGACAGTCAGCATTTGTTTGCCAAAGACAACCATGATGCCTTTGGGTAGCGTTGGGCATTAGCATCTGCTTTTAACTCCTAAAATCGGCTTGTGTTGAAATGCTGATGAGAGATCACTGTGCTGATTTGGAGGTACTTGTAGAAACTTTTAGGCATCTGTGGACTCTCTGGACATAACTTGGATGCTACCTAAGTTGTATTTCCTTGACTGGTGCGCAAAGGCCTGTGAAGTTCTTGGCTTTGCAAGACCTTGCTCCCAACAGGTACAAGTATATTGATGATTCACATAGGTGTCACAAGGAGCCGAGAATCTTTGTTCAACTGCGTAAGTGCTGAAGCTCCCTTTCTTCTCTTTGCATCACATTCTCCAGCTAGATTCTGATCTGCTTTTCGTTTTTAGCAATATTGTGTATGTAGATTTCCTGCCCAACCTTTAGCATGGTTTCTTCACTGAGTTTTCATTTTTCAGTTTCTAAGTTTCTTTTCAAGTTAATTAGGGAAATAGGCACATACAGACTCTTAATTAGATCGTGAATTTGCCAGTATTTATATAAAAACAAAGTTAAGATTGCTAATAATAAAATAAATGAAATCTGGAATTATATTTCAAGTAGTTTAAGTCTGCTTCTATATAATACTTAATAGAACTTCTTGAAATCAGCTATATGATTGTATCGGGTAATCAGAAGTCGTTGTAGTGGTTGGCGACCCTGCCTGTGGCAGGAGGGTTGAAACAAGATGATCATTATGGTCTTTTTCAACCCAGGCCATTCTATGGCTCTGTGATGCCACTAGTTGAAGCCAGTTTATCAAGTTATCTTCTAGACATTTTAACAGGGTTCATGAGAATGTGAGGGGTGGTATTCCTGAGAACACTCATAAAAATGTATTCAGCTCAACTGAGGCAAGAATAAGAAGAAAGGAGCTACAGAGAGTTAGGAATTGTTTATTTGGGGTATGGACTTGTCTGTGCAAGCTGTTTTGCTTGTTAAGTTCTTCAGTAAGCCATTAAGTGATTTTGCTTGTAGTGACTGAGAACTCCACCACATCTGGTTTCAGTTGTAGGTGCTTAGCACCACAGAGAACATTATTGTTCAGGCACTTAACTTCAGGTATTAATATCTGTGTACTGAGTTTAGATACGTCCTTCCAACTACAAAAGGGTTGTTTTGTTTTTTCAAAATTATGTTTTGTGGTCAAAGTAGGTCTAATGTGATGTTTTTTTTTGGAAATAAACCCACTTAATAGCTGCCTAAAAATAGAAAGCCAGATTTAAACCTGTGATCACGATGCAAATATAAATTATAGATAATTTTGTTGTTTAGTTTCTAAGTTAAGTGATGTGCTATGTTTAATGGAATAGCTCGCGTCAGAGGACCTCAAGCTTTTTTGGGTAATGTTTGTTGGAAGGAGCATGTGCTTCTGGTGTATGATCAGAAGCTTTATGTTTGTGAAAAATTAGTGACTTAAAAGGTCTGTTCTTTCTAACCACTTAAGACAGCCTTCGCAATCCAATCAGCAGTATGTTCATCTGTAGTTAATGTTTTGGTAGAATTAAATAAGCAGTGAGACAAATGTGAACACCTTTTGTTATCTTTCTCATCTGCTGTGACCACTTTAAATTGGCAACTCTGTTGTTATTGCTGGTTTTTGTACAAAAGCATTTACATTACTGATCTTGTAATCCCACCACGTTTCAGCATGTCCACCCAAGATGCTGATGTGGCTGCATTTGTACCCAGTGTTGCAGGCATGACTGCCTAAATTCTAAACTAACCCTAAATGCAAACTTTCAAGTAGAAAACATTGTGCTGTAGTATCAAAGCAAATAAGTTAGGCTTTCTTTGTGAAACTGTGAAACTGTGAGAGTTTCAGCCTTTCTTGTTTTCTTCAAGCAGAGGAGAAGTAAGAAATTTGCAACCTTTATCAATTCAGATCTTACAAATAGAATCTCATGTCCCGTGGGCATCTGGTCTAGTCAAGAATTGTACTGACCGTGTAGTTGATGTAAGATACATCAAGGTGAAGAAATTCCAGCTGATGGCATTACTCTCTATTAGTGAATCACTGTGTGATGTTTATTCAAACATGTTCCATGAAAATCACCCAGAGGGGGATAAGAACAAATAACCGTAGCAGATCATTTCCAAAATGGAACAGGACATGTAAATACTGTTCTAATGTAAAAACATGAAGGCGCGACTATTAAAAAATTTTAATTTTAAGAAATCAACTGCACTTGGTAGTCTAAGGATAGACAGGATGCTAACTGGTTTGTGTTGATGCAAACACTTGCCACTGGAACAGCTGTTTGGAACTAATATTGTGTATTTCATTCTTTCAACTGGTTTTGTTTTCCTTTTTTTTTTTCCTTAATAGGGTTTTTTTTTCCCTTGAAAAGACAATAACATTCTATTGAAGTCACGTTTTTCTGTCTTAAAAAGTACTTAGCCATTAGCATTAGGTACAGATGTTTATTTTTCAATTACAAAAGAGAAAGTAATATTACAAAATTGTTTTCAATCACTGACAGACTAACAGTTTGTAATAGAGCTTGGCTTATATATTCTAATTTCTCAGAATGATTGTGCTCCTTACCCACGTCATCAATGGGATAAGGCATCATAATCTATTGCATTGAAATTCTGTTGTACAAAAATAGTGTTTCACTTTTCCTTTTCTCCAGGGGCAGACAGCATTTGATGTGGCAGACGAGGATATTCTAGGATACTTAGAAGAATTACAAAAGAAGCAAAATCTGGTAGGGCTTTTTCATATGTATAAATTGTATTTTATTATGCATATGATATATTTCATAGTTAGCTCAGAATAACATACAGATTAAAATCAAAGTTTTGATTTGAGGTTTCAACTCCAGTAATGCCAGCTGTCACTTCAATTGTCTTTTCATGCCATTATTTGGTCAGTTATGGTGACCAAAAAGCCCTGGATTAGAGAAAATCCTTACCTATTTGCCTTCTCCAGTAGGTATTTTATGATCTGAAGCAGCAGCAATCGATCAGCAGTTTCCTGGAAATAACAGATTCTGAGATTTTGGAATTTTAAAGTTGGATACTTTGAAAGTGTGTATACTTCAGTGTTCTCAGTAGTTAGAGGGCTCTCTGCTAGTGATTTTGTCACATAGATGCCATTCTGTCAGTTTAACTGCATTATTCTATTTGTTTTGAAGCTTCATAGTGAAAAACGTGAAAAGAAATCTCCCCTAATTGAATCCACAGCTAACTTGGATAATAACCAGACACAGAAAACATTCAAAAAGTAAGTAAACTAGAGAAATGATGAGCTCTTAATGAAAAGTGTAATTTCACCAGCTGTCACAATGTCCTACCTGGCAGGTTTTAGTAATTTTTTCAGTACTTAGGAGGTATTTTTCTTTCCAAATTCAGTAAAGAGACATTGATTATGGAGCAAGAAAAGAATGCATCTAGTATAGAGTCTCTGGAGCAGGAGAAAGCAGATGAAGAAGAAGAGGGAAAGAAGGATGAATCCAGTTGTTCCAGTGAGGAAGAAGAAGATGATGACTCAGAATCCGAAGCGGAGACAGGTATGTTATTGGACTATTTGTCTTTAAGTTTTTGCTTTAGAAATTTATTTAACATCACAGGATGGAGAGTTAATATTAAGTTTCACTTCTGCATTTCACTAAGCTTCCAATCACTTTAAATAATATTTATGTATGACTAAATTCAAGTCATCATACAGATACCAAGGTTCCTTTATTGGTGGCGCTCGTGGTTAAAGGAGTTAATCTGCTTACTTGACTGTCTAGTTAGCAACTAATTTTAATTAATTATGTGGAATGTATAAGCCTTAAGTAGCATGTCAAAAAAACATTGAAGAAGTTAAAAGGTCAGTGGAGAGATGAAGTCTTTGTTAGCAATGTTTGCTCATGGACTTGTCATAGAGATTGAAACAGCAGATACTGAAGCATTCTCATTTGTGCTTACCATCCTGAAGTAAATACCTATGGATATGGCAATTGTAGATATTCATAAAGTGCTGGTGTATATACTTACTTATATTATGTATTGAAATGAACTCCAGAAATGCTTTTTAACTTAATGTACATTTTGTATACAACTTCACTTCAAGAAGAATGTTCCAGGAAAAGTTCAAAATTGTATACATAGAATTGAATATTGATGTTTAATTTAAATTCATGCAGCTTAGACTGGGGGAGACATTAACTTACTTGTCTAAGTATGCAAGTTGTCTGAGTCTCAAAGTCTCTACGTGGTGAAATGAGGTGGGAAAAAGTGAAGAAGCAGAAACAGTGAAATGGGGAAGCGAACAGAATTAGGATGATCAGTATATCCATATATTTTTATTTCACCTTTCTCGCTATCCGGATTTATGAGCGCTTCCTATAATTTCTGCTGAATATAGAAAAGTACCCTTGTGTGTGCATTTATTCCTTCTATTGTTATTCCTTCTTGTTTGTTCTGTATTTTGCCTTCTGTTGCTTGTCTTGTCACACGTATTGCTTTTCACTGTTTGACTGCTGTGGTGACTGATGAAGTGTACATGAAATTTACTATGAAGTGACAGGCACAGTCATTCAGTACTGCGTCTCTTGGTCAACAGTTTGCTCTTCAGTGGAATGTAGCTTGCTTTTTTTTCTTGACAGATCTTAAAAGATCGGAGTCTTAAAGCAAATAACAATGTAAGAACAGCACAGCAATCTTTTCTTTTGAATTAGAAGACAAATATCAAGCAGTCAGTGTTTCTAAAGATAACTATTCAATCCTAATGAAAGGGTTCAGAATTACAGTTCAGTAATACAATATACAGAAGTAGATGTATTAGAAGTCATTAGAAGTATCTTGCTAATATTTTTTGTTTATGCTTTTTAAAGTGAGTAAACCTATTTGGTGAGCTGTCAGTTCTATTTTAAAGCATTTTTTCTAGTGTATTGACATGAAATGCTAAGGTTAAAAAAGGATTTTAGAGCTAATAAATGTATCATAAATACTTGATCTAGGGAGAAATAAAAATAAAACATGGAATCAGAATAGCTCTTGGAGTTTTTTAAGGTGTTGGGTTTTTTTGTAAGGTAATGTTTCATTAAGCAGGAACAAAAGTTTGTCACATCTTTAAATTATTCTCTCACCTCGTATACTTGCATCTCTTATTTACAGAGACTGAGCTTGGACAAACGCAGAACACTTGTGCTACATAACATGTAGTGCTTTCTCAGTCGCTGAACTAACTGTAATGTCTCCTGAACTTTCTGATTCTGGTAACTGTGTTCTCTTCGTTTCCAGTGGACAGTTTGTGCCAGGAAAATTTGACTGTGACACAAGAATTAATTTATGTAAACTTTGGGGTTTTTAATATCAACAAGGCTTTATCATACTTTATTTGGCAAGCTGGACTTTAAGCTTTTCCCTGCAGAACTGCATCTCTCAGTTTCAAGCTTGTGCTTTCCCTTTTTTCTCATTTTTGACCTTAAGGTGGTTTTCTGGTGAAAAATCTTAAGCTTACGAAGAGCATTTTGGTTGTAGAATGTTTTAACATTGTTAAAATATTACATTTTGAAAATGACAACATTGTTAACAATGTTCTGAAGTACTGTAAACTGTCTGATTTCCAATCTGTTAGTAAATCCAAAGTGTTTTCCTAAAACTTCCATTTTGAGAGTACAGCTTAAAAATAAATGTGTTTCTCTTTCTGTAAGGTGAAGCAGTGAAATATGATTACAAAACTAAAAGGGAAACAAACTAGAAATCAAAACTTACAGTACTTCAGCTTTTAAACTTATTTTCTTTGGGATAGTTCTGTATTTTTTGAAAATTACTCTTATCTCAGCCATGCATAACTCTATGTTCCATCTGTCTTTGCAACAATTTCAGAATACAATTGGGAAAAATCCATTTTTTCCATCTTTTCCTTTCACTCCTGATAATTTTTTCTGTGTATTACGAAGCTGTATTATTGACTTGCAAATTTCCAGATCTGTCTGTGCGTCTGTAAAGCTTTTTCACTTTCTACTGTCAGCCTGCATTGCTCTGTGGAACGTTCCCCTTGTGTTTAAAAAGAGCTTTCTCTTAAGTGTAATTAGTCATGTAAGTTATTCACTGCTCAGTACTGAATGGGTAATGTAGAAATGAAGGCATGTTTATAGGAGGGGCAAAATCAAAGGAGACTGATCCACTGTTGCTCAGCACTGCAGAAATAAGATGTAGCAAGAAATTCCAAAGAATTTACAGTTTGAATATGTGAAACAAATGAGGCGTAAGATTATGCAGTGCGAGCAAGTGCAGTGACAACAGTTGTGCAGTAACCCGGACGTTATCTATGTGTTTACTTAAGAGGAATTCAGGTATGCAGTGGAAGAAATACTGGGCCAGAAGGACAACCAGAAGAGGTTAGACTAGTCAGACAGTGAAACATAGGTGGGAAAAACAGGAGACAAAGAAGGAAGAAAGCAAATGGAAGTCAGAGCTCTTGTTGTTTTTCAGAGGACCAGCAGGTTCCTGTCTCAGCTAAATTCTGCTGTCCAAAGTCCCTGGCTGGATTCTCCATGCAGTCAAATATTTCTTTATACTCAATATACACAGTTATCCAAGAATAAATGTTTTACTTTGAATTGGCATCTTTTATAGTTCAAGTTAACTATTATATGCCAGTGTACCTCCTACTGTTTAATTTTTAGGGTCATTAACCAAAGGCTAAAGTATAGTCTGCCTAGAGAGGTTGTAGCACCTCAGTCAGTGGGTGTTTTCAAGGCCTGACTCATCAAATCCCTGAGCAGCCTGGGCCGTATGTAATGTTGACTCTGCAGGAGGTTGAATTAGGTGGCCTGCTGAGCTCACTTTCAACCTGAACTAGTCTGTGATTCTGTCACTGCATCTCTGAGTCTTTCTGAATAACAAAAATAAGTAAAATATTATATGCATGAATGTCATGGAGAAAAAGGTCAATTTAACTATGAGACAGATTGAGAGGGATAGGGAAAATACTGAGAAATAAATAATAAAGCACTATTGGGAAAGTTGACTGTTAAATATGTTCAAAACAAGTTCAAGTCTTTGTTGGAGAAATAAGGGACTTATGAATGACAGATTGAAAATGAAAATATTGTATATATTTTTCAGATAAGACCAAAACCTTGGCTAATGCAAATACCACAAGTACACAATCAGCATCGATGACTGCTTCAGTAGCTGGAGGTCAAGGGACACCCACATCACCTCTTAAGAAGGTAAAATGAAGTACTTGTATTGTGATTTTACACATCTGTTCTCCTGTGGAAGTGTACATTTTTTTGTTTTGAAATTGAATGGAGTTATCCAGTGAGCTAATGAAAGCATGCCAATTTATAATACTGTTTGGTTTTTTTTCTGCAGAAACTATGTTCAGTTTTCATAAATTCTGAAATTTGAATGAACAGTTTTGATTCTAAACAGGAATCCAGGCATCTGAAATACGTAGCTACAACATAGCTGAACACAAGATCCATTTAAAAAAGAAAAGATCTGTTGCACAGTAACTGGAATTCTTGTTTTTCTGAAGCTAAAGTTAATCTCTCAAAAATCTTTTTTATGCTGGACTCCTCCTAAAGTTTTAGAAAGTACTGTTGGTCTTAAGGTAAGGGAGCTTTGAGGTCCTTAGTAGCATTCAGCTAATGTTAGAAGTTGAAAATTGATAAGCACAGAAATTTGAAATAATATCTGAAGTAAGAAGTAGAAAGTCTTGTAGGTTCCAACACCGATCTCAGTATGGTTAAGATCTAATGGAAGAACTGGAGCATTGGGACTCATGATTTATTCAGTGCAAATAACCTAACCAGCACAAAAACACACTCAGCAAAGCCGTATTGCTTACAGGAAGCTTGATTTATAAAGTTGGTTTGAACAAATCTTAATTTTGCTTGTCAAAGGAGAGATATATATGATGAGGGAAGAAAACTACAGCAGACAATAATATACAGTCACAAGATGGTATACAAGTCAAACATTCATAATATGTGAGCAGACTGGATAGCAAGCTGGGAAGGCTTCCTTTGTCATTTGTTAAAGGTTTTCTATGCATGTTGTAATCAAGGCTTCACCCTTACAGGTTCTGGAAAGCTTGTTTAGGGGAAATAGTGACTATGGTGCACTGAAGCCACAGTAGAGAGGGAAAACATACGGCAGGAGGAATACTGTGTATTGTATTTTTCAGCTCTCTGGAGGTAATTGGAGTTGTGCTTACATAGGCATAACAGAACTTAATGATAATTCATCTTAGAAAGTGTTGGTTTGGACTTAATGGTCCCGACATTGGAGTATGTCCAAAGAAGGGCCAAAGGGCTACAAAGCTGTTGAAGGGTCTGGAGCATAAGTCTTATGAGAACTGGCCAAGGGAACTGGGATTGTTTAGTCTGGAGAAGAAATAGTTCAGGGGAGACCTCATCGCTCTGCACAGCTACCTGAAAGGAGGTTGTAGCAAGGGGGGGGGGAAGGTTGGTCTCTTCTCCTAGGTAACTTGCAATGGGACAAGAGGCAGTGACCTTGAGTTGTGCCAGAGGAGGTTCAGGTTGCATATTAGGATAAATTTCTTCTCTGAAAGAGCGGTAATGCAATGGAACAGGCTGCTTAGGGAAGTGGTGGAGTCAACATCCCTGGAATTGTTTAAGGGAGGGGTAGATGTAGTACTTAGGGACAGGGTTTAGTGGACGTGGCAGTGATGGGTTGACGGTTGGACTTGATGATCTTAATGGTCTTTTCCAACCTTGTTGATTCAGTGATTCTATGTAAAAGATCCAGGCAGTATATTTAAAAATGCCCAATTGCTTCATATCCTGTGATACTGTACAATATGGTTGCACCAGCCTTCCTGATCTTAAAAGCTGCTTTGTAAAAATCATCACAACTGACTTCCGCAAGCTTTCTCTTAAAAAAGAGATAAAAGCAGAACGTAATTGTGGCCATGGCTTCCTGGTAGAAATGACTGCTCCACTGTGAAAGTGGTAGAAGAAGAAAAAAGAAAAACCTGGTAGAAAAGACTCCCCACTCTGAGCCTTTGTGTCTGGTCAGACAGCTTGATTCCAGGGTGATCTTGTTATGTTAGTCTAAACACTTTGCACTTGCTCCGTTGGTAATTCTGGTTCTCTGTCACGGCAGCTGCATTTGGTGCACTCAAAATCTACACAGAACTTGAGCCACAGGTTTTCTATGCAAACTACAGCAAATGGGGAGCTGGGGGAGACGGAAGGCTGAGTAATTTCTGCTTTACTAAATGTGTGTAACTGTACAGAATGGAGAAACCTATAGCGTGATTTTAACTGCAAGGAGACAGATCTACTTTATATAGTTTATTTTTTGAAGTCAGTTTATTAATGCAAGCATTTCTGACAGTTTTTCAGTTTAAGTGATACACTCTCCAGGCAGATTTTGTACTGGAATTCATATTCTAAGATATCTAGCACTTCAGAAGTCTTTGTTTTTCATGTCACAGTAAAAGTTTCCTAGCTTGTGCCTCCCAATCAAGTTAATTCATATTGCACAAAAGTATTCCAAGCTGTGTGATCTTCAGTGATAGGATGTTAACAAATCATTACAAGCTTGGAACGTGGCTTCATATTCTAGAGTTGTATGATCAGTTAAGCAGAATTTTTCTGGAATGTGTTTAAATGATGATGTATGAAAAAAAATTCAGTGAGAAGAAGTAAGTATGACTTTAAGCTAACTAAGAACCTTTTGTAAATCATTAAGCATTTAGTTTCGTCTGATTTTATTATGCAGTAATTAATGGCTTACCTTGTGTTGGTGGGTTTTGTTTTGTTTTGTTTTTTTTGTCTAAAAGGTTAAAGAGAGGTGCAGGTTAAAAGTACACTGCAGTAGTCTTTCTAATATTTGATGTGAAACTCCGTGTCTTCTGTATTTCCAAAATAAATGCATATTTATATTGAAGCTGATCACCTTGTAACATAGCATGCACGTGTGACCTGAAGAAGCAGTTGCAGCTCGTGTCAATGAACGAAAATGATTTAAGATGTTTTGACTGAAAAAAGGTAAAACTTGTACAGGTACAAGTTGCCTTGAACCTAATCATGCACCTGCCTTTTCAGGCTTGCAACATCTGTACTACTGCGGTTACTCTTCTGATTTTACACAATAGATGGCCAAACCATGTGTTGCTCACAAGTGCTGCAGATGCAGTGTACTAACTTGAATTTGGGTTTTCTTCAATCTCTATGGCATTCAGTAATGCTGCATTCTGTCTGAGGACGTTAAACTTAGGCAAGTGTGCAAATAAAGGTATGAGATTTGATAGCTAAGTTAGCATGTGATTAGATTAAGAGATATGAATGGAATATGAAAGAAGATAAGAAAGGTGATGGTATGTTAGTGTGAATCTTGAAATATTCTCCAATATACCATGATTTAGGCATGAACCTTGTTAGGTCTAGAGGCTGTGCTATCCTCTCTTCTGCAAACTGTAATTGCATTGCTGAATTAGCTAAACATATTGCATTGTGTTTCATAAGAATCTGTTACTGAAGTTTTAATTATCTTACTGCTTTTAGGTATTTCATGGTGTAACGAAGAGCTACATGCCATAAACATAGGAACAAACTGTGCTTTTGGAACTACCTTTTGTTTCTATTTTCCTTTCTTTCATCTTTGTCTTGTCTCAATTGGCTTTAGTATGATTTCATTCCTCCTCTCATGCCTGTCGTGGAGTCAGTAGATCCTGCATCATGGAGGCAGGGCTTGCGCAAAACTGGCATTGTTCTTGTGCCCAATAAGGGTGAAAAGGCAATGGTGAGGTTCTGGTGTGCACAGGCTTGTGTACAGGTTGCAAAATAACATGTTTAATCAAATGTTGATAGCAGATTTGCATGGTTTAACTTTGTATCTCATGATCACTGTGTGTATTACAAAGTGTGAGTTTTTCCAAGCTAACTTTTAGAGGAGTAGTACTCCTTGACTTGTTTTATGTTTCTTATCTCATTAACTAATAAGAGAGGAGATTGCCTAGGTTGTCTCTCACTACAACTCCCCCATGTATTCAGTACTTCCATGATTATTAGACGTAGTTGTGTTCTCAAATCTCTGCAAGGAACGTGAATTACTACAGTTAATGCAAATTAATAGCCTTTTATTTGCTACTGTGTTTTATAGTTTCCAACATCTACAACCAAGGTTTCTCCCAAAGAAGAAGAAAGGAAAGATGAATCTCCTGCTTCATGGAGGTTAGGTCTTCGAAAAACTGGTAGTTATGGTGCACTTGCAGAAATCACTGCTTCAAAAGAAGCTCAGAAAGAAAAGGACTCTGCAGGTGTTATACGTTCTGCTTCAAGTCCTAGACTTTCCTCTTCATTGGACAACAAAGAAAAGGTAATTGTTTTCAGAGTGAAACCAGTGTTTTTACCACACATTCATTCTGCAGTAAAATTCCAAGCTGTTAAATTATATATCTGTTGTGTAATCTCTTTAAAAATACAGAATGCACCAGTACTGTCTTGTGACTTGGTGCATAGGAGTGGGACTTATCTCTTTTAGGGACTTGCACTGTCAGTAGTAGTGTTTTTTACAATTACAGAGATCTGAGGGTTGGCAGTTTTGGCATCATTTGGAGAATGATGTTGAAAGAATTTTCTGAAAAAAGAAAGCTTTTATTGAATTCTGTGGTCATTTTTTATTTATAAAATGTTTAAACGCAAATACACTGCAGTGAAGGACTGATTTGGAACAGGTATCTAAACAACATATATTTCCTTTCAACCCAGGCCATTCTGTGATACTATGATTCTGTGATTCTGTTTCAAGTACAAATGTTTAAATCCATTCTCAGGAATACTACTGAGCTATAGTATATAAAAATACTAATACAGTGTCTTCAGTAAGTAGTTTCCTGCTTTCCAGTAATACAGCTCTGAACAAGAAATCAAGTCATTTGCATTACTACCATGAAATCACAAACAGTTCTCTTTTCCTGTTTTAATCCTTCAGATATTTAACTGAAAACTCACTTGTATAATTGAGTCACAGTAAATACAAACGAAGTTGCTATAATGGTGATTTTCCAGTTAACAGGCAGTATAATCAATAATACTAATGCTTATTAAAAATCTGTGTCTTTCAGGAGAAAGATGGAAAAGGAACTAGACTTGCCTATGTTGCACCTACAATACCAAGACGACTGGCCAGTACCTCTGACATTGATGAAAAAGAAAACAGGTGACTCTGAAGTTACTGCTAAATATTAAATTATGTGATTTTAGAGTGGCTGAAAAACATACAGATATGAAGATGATTCTAGTTCGTAGCATTAACCCGTTTCATAGATTATGCTTACCTGTAGGGTAATTGAATTCTGAAAGGGTTTTTGTCATGTAAGTCATGATAACCCCTTTTGAAATCCACATTATTTTATGGTAGAGTCAGTTCTGGGCATTGAGTGTTGTCATCCTGGGGGAGAAAATAAAATTAAATGCAAAATGGTAATGCAAAATAGTAAGGTGTAGAATTCCAGCTAATGAAGGTTACAGAAGGAATTTTTCTCCTTTGTCTTAAACCACAGAGTGCTGACATTGGGTTCCATTATGACTTTTGCAGAAAAAAAGAAACCATCCTCTTTCCTACAGTACTTGATTAAAACCATATCATTCAGCATCAGCAGTTTACAGAAATCCTAGCAGTTCTTTTGTAACTTCCACTTCTGTCTTTCTTGTTTTATTGTTGGTCTTTCATCATCTTTTGCAGATGTTTAATCCTTTACTAGTATTTTTTCCTTCAGCTTTTGGTATAAAGGGAATAAAAAGTTTAGGTGCAGAGGTTTGTCACTTATTAGGATTCAGAGTATTTCCATGACATACCTTGTGAGAATCTTCCCAGTTTTCACTTCTCTCCTTTATTAAGGTTCTACTTGAATTACTTTCTTGAGTTTTAATATAGAATGCATAGTATAAAGCAGAGAAATCTCCTTAATGCCTTGTTTCTGTCAGGTTGTATCTAGACAGCCAAATTTTGAATAACTTAAAAACAGAAATACCTCTCATTGATCAAAATGTGCTACTATAATCATTGTATCTAAAGCTGACTAAACCTGTTTTTGAAGTGGAGTATTTCTTTATATATATTTTATATATATATATATATATTCATATTTGGAGTATGTCAAGTTGATATACTTGACAATAGCTCAGGTAAGAGCAAGCACAAGATGCATTCTGGTTTTTCTTATGCTTGTGGAATATTGTTGGCTAAGTTCAGTCTCTGAGTGACAAATTCTGTTCTGAAACAGGAATTCCAGATCTCATGCTCCCTTAAAGTTCATCTTACTGTGTTGGCATCTCTTGTGTTACTTGACCATTTTTTCAGATCTGTGTTTCTGTTAACATTGTAGTTTGGAGTTTCTGTTGTCAGTCTCTGAGAGTACTGTATTCTTATTTGAGGTTGAATTTATTAGTCTTGATTCGATTATAACAGATTGTTCTTATTTCAAGTCTTATTCTTTTGCAATTTCCTTAAATACTCTTACTATCCAAAAATGTCTTGGCTAGATGATATCTTAAGTTTGGGATAAATATTGAATTGCAATCATATTTCTTACGAATTTTTATTGATTGTCACAAACAGATTAAATTTTGGTGCAATGTTGAGGTATATTTGTCTCCTTGATATACCAGTCTTAACCATCATTACTTATTCACAGACCAAGTTCCAAAAGTGGTTACCAGCTATGTTATGTTTTTGCTGATATGCTTGACCAGAGATCATCAATGTCATTAGACCTGGTGTTGACTAAACAGTTGACCTGAGAACTTTCTTTGTTTCTTGATGTACAAGTGATAAAGTGTGGTTTTAGGCCAGCTTTTTTAGGCACCTGTACCTTGCCTAGTGTATGTTATGGTGGACAATTCTACTTACTTAAAGTCATTGACACTTAGTCTGACCTCTCTTACATGTGGAATTTAACTATCTGCCCTACAGGTACATTAATTAATTACTAAGAGTTCTGCCTTGTCCCAGATCTCTATCCTTGTTGCTTAGCTTAATGCCTTGTCCTTGTTCCACCTGTCTGAACAACTGCTTGTCTAGATTATAGATGATGTAATGCAATCCATCTTACTTCCTTTTGTGCCTAATGGAAAGGACTTCCAGATTTTCAAGATTAATCTCAGCTCAGCCTTTATAGTGCTTGAAGTTTGTAGTGGCCTGCATTGACTAGAATTTGATTCTTTTCTGAAATTGCTTGCAACCACCAAAGTGCAAGCAAAGTGCACATTTTTGTGCAAAAGGATATATTTGGAGTAGAATCTGAAGTCCAAAGGTATCTTGAACATAAAACACATCTTGCAGGATTTACTTTCACTCACATACGATTGATTCCCTTTTGTACTTTTGTGTAAGATATTTCTTTCTTCCGTCTGAACTTCAAACCTTCTGTTTTGTGTTAGAAGCTTTTTTTAGAAGTTCAAATTCATGTATTTCTGCATCAGTCTTCAGAGTTTTTCCAAGAAGACTTTTGCAAGTCTTCTTTTTTTTCTTCTTTTTTTCTTGATGGTATACACTGCAACAGTACAAGAGAAATTCTTCATGACTAAAGTAATGTCAGCTAGTGATATATGGCAGGCCACTCAGGAATGGCTACTGCAGGCCTGTTTACACTAGTCTAAAGTAGCGTGAGTTCTAACACGAATAATCTCATGAGATCAACTTCTGAAACAGCAAGTAGTTTTCCCTTGATGGCACTGAATTATCTCAGCCAATAAAGAAGCATCTTGCTGCTTTTTAGAGTGAAACAAAGCCAGCACTGGTCACAGATAAAAGCTGATGTTTGACTTCTCCTTTAACAGTTTCTCTTCTGATACTTCTTTTCAATTTTATTTCAAACAGTGTTAATATGGATCTGTTATTTTTTGACAGGAATTTGAAAATTATTGTGCATAACAGGTCATTTTATTCTTTTTCTCTACAGTTATGTTTATTTTAAGTGTGTTTTCCACACACAGTTTTTCCATCTTTAAGTTAAAAATCATTTGCATCTCATCAAAACCAACTTGCTTTAATACGAATTTGCTAAAACAAAATCTTATTTACAGGGACTCGTCTGCTAGCTCAATACGTAGTGGCAGTTCCTATGCAAGGAGAAAATGGGAGGAAGATGTCAAGAAAAACAGTTTGAATGAAGGTCCTACATCCTTAAACACAAGTTATCAAAGAAGGTGTGGGATTTTCTCTTGTCTTTCTTTGATCAAATGAGATTTCAGATTGGAAAAAAAAATCATTTCTGAATCCTTTATTTGAACAATACCTTGATAAAATGGTGTTCATAGTAATTGCAAAGTATGTACTTAAGCCATATGTTTTTACCAGCTTAGAGCATTAGATCAAATGCCACGTAGGTTGCTCTGAAAGTAATTCCTCCTATTTATTTCCATGAAAATTACAGCAGTTACAAAGAACACAATAACACTATTCGATAGAGCAAGTTATCAGCTATAAAACATTGTTTTTTAGGGTAGCCACCACCATAAGCTATACATTTTTGCCAGTGATGAACAAGAGCCTGCATGCCATGCTCATAAAAATTTGCACAGCAGAGGTGAACAGTGTTGCTGTTGCCACTGCTGAAATGCACCACTCACTGCCTCACTGTGCTCACGTCCACTGCTTGGTCTCCATAAACATTCAGAAGCATTGATGAGTGTCAATGGATGCCATTTTTCCTGCATGGAGGAATTCAGTGCCACATTTTTGCTTCATATGCACTTCCATGTCAGATGCCATTGTTTCAGCCTGCCCCTCTGCTGCCATCAGCCACACAGCAACAACATGGAATGGGATATTGGTGGGAAGGTTCCACCTCTCCTTCCATACCGCCAACATCTGCCACTAATGTCGTGGGCCAGCGGAATAAAATAGTAGGTATTACTTTTGGAGCAGCCCTCGTATACAAAGTTACGTGCTTTCTTTTTCCTGTTGTTTATTTTGAGGTTCTTTTGACTCTTTCCAGATTTTATTAGTAGCCAGAGATAACAGTTTTAACTGCTGGAGCAGAAGTAATTCTCCCTCATATCTGAAAAGAGAAGTGTTGCATTCAGGTTTTACATGAAGATGTCAGAGGTCTTGGGCTGCTGTCCATAGCAGTAGATTATAGCCACGCCTACTTTGAGTACTACCATCATAGAGTGTGTATGTAAAACTAAAACTAAGTGGTGACTGATATGAAAATAATTTCCAGTTGTGCATGCTTCCTATCTCACAGGATTATTTTGGAAGAGATCATATCCAGTGATTATATACGTCATTAACTTTACTCCACTATGTAGTTTCAATGGCAGATATTTAAGTGAAATTCATTTATTTTAATGAAGTCATCAATAAATATCTAAACAGATCAAAAAGAAGAGGTTGACATTCGGGTAACTAAGTTGTGTACTTGTATGTGCCTTGTATGTTGTACTTGTATGACGTAAGTGGTGACAGATGCTTAACTTCTTTTTTTCAGTTGTGCCATTGATGTTTTTAGTGGCATGCAGCCTGTCTATTTCATACAGCCTAGTACATTTTCTGTCTTTGTTAACTTCTAATCTTAAAACAAAAACAAAATTTTCTTAACTTTGAGTTTAGGAATAATCTTGCACAGGTTTCATGTTCTGGATGGGGAAATATTAATGGTTTGGTTTATGAAAACAGTCTTTGCATGTTAGTCTTTATCAGTATTAATGTTCCAAACTTCAAATGCAATGTGCTCATCACTTTTATATGCTATTTATATATTTTATTTATTTTTATATATTTAATATATTATTTATATTATTAATAATTATATTAATATAATTATATTAATAATTAAATAATATAATTAATATAATTAATATAATTGTATGTTATTAATAATTAATATCATATTATTGTTATTTATATATTTATTTATTTATTTATATTGTTTATTTTTATACGCTATTTATATAATGCTTTCACAGTAGATTTTCTTAGTTTTTCTTGTACAGTTTTTCTTTCCTCTCTCATTTTAGACTTGATAGCAAGAAAGAAAGATCAATAGAAGAATGACAGTCTTCTTTCCTTAAGCCTTTTGTACTTTTTGTAATGTGATGTTCTGTCTTAATTGTTTTAACTTGTAGAGTTAACATGTGAAAACACCCTACTTCATAGTGCAAAATATTTTCAGCCAGAACTAATGGATAAAAATATGGAAACCGCTGCCATCTTTAAAACTAGAAGAGAAGGGGAAAAGCATAAGTGGAAGATTAATTAAGACTTTTGTTCTTTGCTTGTTTGTTTTTTTTAAAAAGCATATTTAAACTTCTGAAAATTGTTAGAGGAGTGGTATTGATTATGTGTTTTTTTCTAACGAGCTGTGAAAAATTCTGTATTTTCAATATAAAATGGAACACCGGGGACTCTGTGTCAATATTTCAGTAGATGCAGTCAAGACAGTAACACATAAACCAGTGAAATGTCATTTTTCTCTTCTTGTGGAGAAATAGTCAGGTCTGTTGCCTTCATAGGCCATAAGTTAAAAGTCATCCTCCATGAAATCATGAAGAAAATCGCTTTGGAAAATGCTTCCTTTGCCCCAGAAGGACTCAACTGGGACACAGAGTGGTCAGGCAGGAGTTTAATGGATTATTCACAGCTTTGTGATATTTTTTGAACAAAGAAAGACAAGTAATACAAATGCATGAATTGTAAATGTCTCTCCTTCAGTGGCTCCTTTGGTAGAAGACAAGATGATTTGATTAGTTCTAATGTTCCAAGTACTGCATCAACAGTTACCTCTTCTGCTGGTCTTCAGAAAACACTGCCTGCCAGCGCAAACACTACTACAAAGAGTACAACGGGTTCAACTTCAGCAGGTGTACAAAGCAGGTAGTGCCCCAGTGTACTTTTTATTGTTGTTTTTTGTCAGGTCTACTGTGTGCTTATGTACGTGCATGCGTTCTTGTTTAGTAGATCCTGGGGCTCTGGATTTTTTCACTTTCCTGCTCAATTTCTTTCATTTTTACACAATTTGGCTCAAATTGTGAACGGCTTTCTGCTGTAAAGTGACAGCCATGTTGATCTAAAAGAATAAATCCAATATTAGAAGGGTGAAGAGTTCAATTGTTTTGAACTTTTCATTTCCTAATTAAATCAGTTTAATAGCTCAAGTTGAGCTTTCACCGTGGAGACATTTCTCAGATTGCTTTTTTAAAAAATCCATCCCTCAATGTACATGTTATTAGTTGTTTAGTTAAGTGCTTTCATTGTTTAGCTGTTTCCTTTTCTCTTTTTTTGTGTTGCTACTTGTTATGCTGTAGTACCTCAAATCGTTTGTGGGCTGAGGATAGTACTGAGAAAGAGAAGGACAGTGTTCCCACAGCAGTGACGGTTCCTGTTGCACCATCTGTTGTAAATGCTGCGGCCACTACCACAGCCATGACTACAGCTACTTCTGGCACTGTGTCCTCAACATCAGAGGTCAGGGAGAGACGGAGGTGTGTAAAGGTCCTACGAGTAATGTTGCTCTTGTACAAAAGTAATCTTATTTTCTTATTTAAAGGAATGTGTTGCTTACCTCAATTTGGGATAGTGTAATACGAAAAGCGGTGAGTGGTGTTTGCTTGCTGTTCAGTGAAACAACTAGCAACATGCCTCAGTTTATCTGACAACTTAGTACTGGTGGATCTCATCTGTGAAACTTCAAAGTTCAGTTCTGTTTATTTTTTACTGTCATGGGTAAAAAATTGGGTTCTCATTTGATATGCAGTAATTATTAATTTGCATTTTTTGCTAGTAGATTACGTGGGTTTTCTTAAAAATACCCATAATGGAACTACATTGAAAACACTGAATGAAAAAAAAGAAAAACAATAATTTCTTACTTTGAATACATTGCTGCTTTTTGAACTACTGTGCCAAAGGCAGTATGCTGACAAGTTACTGTGTGGTATTTTTTTACCCGCTTATGCCTGACACTACTGAGAAAAGAGTATTTAACTTCATTCATTTCATTCCATCAGTTAGGATCTTTTCCATTTGAAACATAACTACAGATGTGTTTTCTTCTCCACCGTGATTCAGGAAGTGCCCACAACCGTTTTAAATAAAGCCATAAGACAACAAAGTACATCAGTTTCAAAAAATAGTTCCAATTTTAAAACTCAAATGCTATTTCAGTATCAGATGAGCTAGAAAAGCAAGCAGGTGTAGAACTAAGGCTTTCACTGTCTCGTTTGCTCTCACTTAGTGTATGTATACTAATGCGCGTATGCTACATACGTCTTAGATACCTGCAGTCGGCCTGAAGTTCTCTGCTTTTAATCTGATTAGTCAGTGCTGATTGTATAATATATCGCTGTAGGTGTATTTTTGGTGGCATATTAAAATACCCATTAAACCTCAAAAAAAAAATCAGCAAAATTTGAATATTTACTGTGTGCATGTCACACCCTAAGTATGTGCACATGCATATCTATCTGTATATATACAGATACATATATCTCTCTGTGTGTATGTGTATCTATGTATGTTTATATGCACATGAGTAAGTTGTGTCTATTTATGAAATATTATGTGCTAAATATTTTCTTAAGAAATGAAGTTGATTAATTCATATCTGTAGACTGAAAGAGCGTTTTTTGGAAAGCATGCTTGAAGTAGCATTTCAAATAATTGAGAAGCAAACACATTGTGAACTGATTTCAGTAATGGAATATGTAATGAAGCATCTTTTTTGAATGTACTGAAGAAGTTACACTCTATCGAATTTTCAGGATTGCTTTAGAGAAATAGCAAGAAGAATGACAAATGTAAATCTGTAAAATCTTTACATTTTGAATAACACTGCATGACTGACCTGTGAATCAGACATATGGAGGGCCAGTTTCCAGTGTGCACATGACAAGTATTGAGTTTTCATTTTCTTTCAATGAGTTTTAAAGTTTTTCATTTCTTGGAGGATAGGAGTATGTACACCAATTACTACTGAGTAATTTGCAGTAATTTGCAAGCTCTAAATGTTATACCTGCTCTACAGCCAGAACTGTCTTAGGTTGTTTACAGCTTGTGGCTAAATTATATATTGACTAACCGTAAACTAGAGCCAGTGCAAACGAGATTCACCTGACCAGCTGTATTTCAGGTTAGCTAAAGCAGCTAGCAGACACCCTGTTCCTTATATAGATAGGGCTCAATAGAAGAAAAGAAAACCTTACCAAAAGTACTGTTTGTAAAAGAAAAAGATAGGGAAATCAATTAATATAGCTTTATTTGTTTTCAAATGTGTCATAAGATGTTTTCCATATTTGAACATTTAACAGCTAATTATATTTTTTCTTTCCCTAATTTGGGGATAATTTGTTCAGTAGAGATAGAACATAGTTGTTAAGACACAGACACAATAATTTGTGTAAATAAAGTTTATTTCAAAAATTTAGAACTGTCTTTAGCATTTCCCAAGCAGAGAACTATATAATTAGGTGATTGAATAACTGCTCTTTCCATAGATTGATCTTCTAAGTGTTAATAGGTGATAGCTTCTCAAACAAAATATTTAAATCAATAGCCAGTTTTTTAATAAAGAAATGCAGAAAGTAGTATATAGACAATCAGAAAATATTATTGAATCTGAGTCTACAGTTTTTAACATAGTTAAAATTGATGATCTAAAGAAGCTCAGAGAGGTTTTGCACAGGGTCTGTCTTTTGGATTGTCGAATGCATGGATGATACATGTGAAGACGAGGTAATCACTTCCTCAGGGATTTTTAATCTCAGGTACAATAGATTGTTTCATTAGGTTTTCTGCCTTAGGAATGCATTAGCTTTTTCTAAAGCCTTAACGTTATGTTAAAGGTTTACATGTGCATGCAAACACACAGACATATATTTTGTGTGTAAACGTAACTGGCTGAGGTTTATGAGGTCTTTTACCCCAATGTTAGTTGACCAAAGTAGTTATATTTAGGTAAAAACAAATCTAAATTAAGTAGGAAAGCATATGTATTTTAATTGAGTTTTAAGGCTGCGATCATGAGCAAGTGCTATGGATGAAATGCCTAAAATGTAATTCATCTCATACATACAGTCAAAGGTTTTCTCAAACTGCTTTGTTTTTGTCATACCATGTTGTATTTTTCTGATCATTTGATGAATTTGTCTAAAAATTATAGTTTGCCAACTTGTTTGTACTTAATTCTTTAGATCATACCTCACTCCAGTACGGGATGAAGAGTCAGAGTCCCAAAGAAAAGCCAGATCCAGGCAAGCAAGACAGTCCAGGAGATCTACGCAGGTATAATTTTATTACAGCTTCTACATTTATGGAAACATACAGCTCCAAAAGTACAGTGAAGTTTTAGTTTCCCACTAAATTTCAAATAACCAATTTGTTTTCCAAACATAATTGACTTGTACCAGATGAATATGTTTTATTTCCCTGCTTCTCCTGAAAGCTTGAGGAGCCCTTACTGTGGTTTGAAGGTAGCTTTTTCTAATTAGCAAAGACAATCTTAATACAAGCTTGAAAGCAGGGAAGCAGCCACTGAAAAGTTTTTGTTTGCGTTATGTTATAGTGGCTTACTCAAGCAATTGCTTCTGATGTTATGTAGAGTAACTTTTAATTCTTCAGAAACTGATAGCTTCTGTCCCAAGATTTTACTGGAGTACTGTAGTTACATTTCCTTAAGTTTCAAATGCTTCTGTATATAGACTGTCGAAGATAATGTGATCAAGTTGACCAAACATACAGATAACTGGTAGTATCAGTGGCGTAGAAAAACTACATTCAGCCTAGTTTCTGTGGACACGGAAGAGTACTAGGAAGAGTTTTTTGATACTTACTACTAATCTGAAATCTAACTCTTGTCAGAGTTTCCCTCTCATGGCTTACCTAGTGATATATTTGCCAGAACTACTTCATACTGAATTGCAACCAGTGCAAACTTTGCACAGAAAAGGATGTCACAGTAGCAAAAGAAATGATGTCTTAAAACTACTGTTCAAGCAGTCTTGAACGCTCTCTGAATATTGGAGCAATTATCAGCTACTGTCCTCTGTCAAGCGTGTCTGCCCGTCTCTCCTTTGTTCTGCTGTAAAACAGAACAAGGAAATACTCCAAATGGTATCCTAATCTGCATTAAGGCCAAGTCTATAACTATGATTTACTGGTACTACTTTCAGGCCTTTTTAATTTTAAACCCCTCAAATATTTCTGGTAAGTCTTCCTGTTGAGAGATGCATGTTTGGATGTGTTTGTTTGTTTGTTTTTTAACCTCTTGATATTAATTCAGTGCCTTCAAAGATTGTCAAACCACAGGTGACTGGACCTTTGCAGTGAAAAAGATGCAAGGAACTGCTGTATTAGAGCATTATCAGCATAAAAAGCAATCAAATAACTAATGAAATACAAAGTTGGTTTTGGAGAGCAGGGCAGGTGTGTTTGAGAACAGTGTCTCAATGAGGTATGTAAGGTGAAAATTGCAGTACAGAGAAGTTTTCTTTAAGTAAGAAATCATTGGCTTTCTGAGCTCATTTGAAAATTAGTTTTTAGCCTCAGAATAGCAAGGAAATAAGAAACGAGTTACATCTTTCTCTGGTGCTGTCAGTGTATTTCTTTGATGTGCTGTTAAGCTGAAAAATCCACTTCACTGAGTGAATTTGTAAAGCATCAGTATTTCTGAAAAAAGTTAAAGTCTTGTATTTTTAGGCTTTCCAAAATATTTATTATGTTTATGATGATATTGAAGGGATCTAGTGGATACTTTAGGGGTTTCTGTATGATTTTCTACTTGATACTTATGTACTAATTTAACTAAAAATGTAGTTTTTGAAGACTCTGTGGTAGATCACACTAGAACGAACACTTGCTGTTAATCAAAAAGTGCTGATATCATTTCCAGGATTCATGATAAAAGTTTATAGGTAAAATATGTAGATAATATAATTAATTTTCTTAAGCAGAATTTTGTATGTAAATAATATAATATATGTAAGTAATATATTTATATAATGTGATGATCTACATTTGCACAAAGTAAGTTATATACTGTACTATTTGCTTTTTACACAGGGTGTAACACTGACAGATCTTCAAGAAGCTGAAAAAACTATAGGAAGAAGTCGTTCCACACGAACCAGAGAACAAGAAAATGAAGAGAAAGAAAAGGAAGAGAAAGAAAAGCAAGACAAAGAAAAACAAGAAGAAAAGAAAGAATCTGAAACTAAAGATGATGATTATAGACAAAGATATTCCCGAACTGTTGAAGAGGTATTTTCATGATGAGTCTCATTAGGTAGAGAAATTATATGAATCTTAACTCCAACAATAATACTACAATTTTGATATTACCACAGTTATTTGTTTTCATTTAAAAGCTTGAATATCCTATAGTTTGCATTTGTTTAATGTTTGTAAATTAATTTTGACATTTTTCTGCTGAATAGCCATATCATCGCTATAGACCAACTTCAACTTCGACTTCTTCATCATCCACCTCTTCGCTCTCCACCTCCACTAGCTCTCTTTCAAGTTCAAGTCAGCTAAACAGACCAAACAGCCTTATAGGTATAACTTCTGCCTATTCTCGGAGTGGAACAAAGGAAAGTGAGAGAGGTAGGAGTGTTAACATTTGTGAAGGGTTTTTTTGTTGTTTTTAATTGCCAAGTTTATGTTTCTAAAGACTGTTCAAAATGGGGTGTGATTTGTGGGCCACTGGGTGATACACGCTGCTCCTACTTCTGCAAGAAACTCCAAAACCTGTATAGAGAGAGGAGAAAAAAGACTTTCAGGACTTGGTGGTGTTTGTTAGTATTTTGTTACGTGAGTCTGGGTTGATTTCTGCTTTCGCTCAGCAACTGTAATAAAATACTACAATTCAGAGTTTAAATATATGCAGTTATTGAGGAGGAATTGTTCTTGATTAAATAATTTCTAAATAATTTGAGTTTTGTTTTAGTCCTATAGTGTAGGAGTGGAGCAATGCTGTAATGCTTTCAGAAAACGAACTATTTAATGCACATCTGAAAACAGAGGAGAGAGGAAGGATACCTCTGGTGGTGGTGTGGTGTTAGTTAATAATACTGAACTATTCTTCTAAATATCTGACTGGTTTATAAAATCTTACACTGATGCTTGATTCAGAGTTAGAAAGATGCTTTTATTTGATGTCACAGAGCTTTTGCCCAAAGTTTTTTTCAGATGTGAATAATCTGTTAGAATTCTATTTCTGGAAAATTATGCTCAGTTGTCAAAGGGGGAGGCTGTTGACACACGTTGTGATCTCCTGTTCTCTCTCAGGGGGGTGTCACTAATAACTTGGGAGAGATACTTTAACACAAGCTATTGATTAGGTATGCAGTTACCAACTGAAATTGATATTTTTGTTATAAAGAGGATCAGATCAAGTAATTTATTGATAAAATCTTCATGAACTATGTTGCAGTATTGCTACATTCTCTACATTGGTATTTTCTGAAGAAGTTATTATGACTAAGCTTTATTGATAAGTTTTCTAATTTTTCCTCTCTGTCCTAAAATTAACTGAAATTTGGAATAAGATTTTTAAGTAATGCATATGCATGCTTACTTCAAGCAGTTTTTTCTGGACTGTTTTATGGAAAGCATTTTCATGGCTAAATACTAGCTACAGCAGGGTGGTTTTTTTTTTTTCAAATTATGATTTTAGGAGGAGAAATGCATTACTGTCTGAAAGACCAAAGGTAAAATCATCATTTATTTAATTAGGAAAAGTCTGTGTTCACCATGAATACTTACATTTACTTCATTTTTTAATTCTTGCTTCATGCTGAAGTTTTCATTTACCTCTGAAGAGCAATTATGGTACAGTTAGATTAGTAGGGATGCATCAATCTGAACTCAACTCTATGGTTTATTTCTAATAAAAGAATAGCAAACTGAACAAACATCGTAACAGGTAAATAACTTCAATTTTGGCAGGTCTGTTTTATTTGTTTATTTTCTTTTTGTGCAAGTTGCTTCTAAACATAAAGGGGATCAAGCACTCCTGAGGTGTTATGCCTGTTTTAAACTGCAGTTGCATTTCATTTAAAGAAAAGGGAAGTCTGTAACATAGAATTAATTTAATCTTGGAGTTCTAATCTTCCTTAAGTGGGAAAATGAAGAGAACTGTGATGGAAAAGGAAATTCTAAGGAGAACTTAACAGACTTTTGAATTTTTTTTAAATGTGGAATTTTTGATAAAAGCAAAAAGTATTGTTTGAAAAATAGTGTGAGGAATAATCTCCTACTGCTCTTTGCAACTACTGGCATAAATTTGAATTATTAGGTGAGATATTTGAAAATTGCTTTTTTAAGTGTCTTACTGTTACACTGAAACATTTTGTTTAGGTGGCTGAGGTAGAGTTAGTACTTTGCCATTGCTGTTCAACAGTTGGAACTGTATTTATTTTAGAGCCGTGTTCTGAGGAATTTATATTACAGCAAACCCTGTTTATGGTAAGAAGCTCTATAGTGAACTTATTTCAGGTGCAAGCATTACCCAGGTTCTTTTCAGCTGTGTCCAGCAACAGAACTGGGGGCAATAGATGCAAAGTGGAACGTAGGAAACTCCATACAAACACGAGGAAAATTTTCTTGAGGGTGACAGAGCGCTGGCACAAGCTGCCCAGTGGGGTGTTGGAGTCTCCTTCTCTGGAGTGGATGTTTGTCTGTACAGCCTGCTTGTAGGGAACCTGATTTAGCTGCAGGTTGAACTACATGATGTCCAGAGGTCCCTTCCAACTCCTGCTATTAGGTGATCGTGTGATTATCTGTAAACATTTTAGAGACTAAGAAATATTTCAGTAACTTTTCAGAAAATAGTGTTATACTTAAATGAACAAGAAGTTGTTATTAACAGAAGGGGGCAAAAAAGAGGAAGAAAAAGAAGAAGATAAGTCACAGCCCAAATCTATACGGGAAAGGCGGCGACCAAGAGAAAAACGACGATCTACAGGAGTTTCATTTTGGACTCAAGATGTAAGTGAAAGACTGCTACTTCTGGTTTGTAGCCATGCATTCTAAGTTTCTATCTGTTTTGAAGCTTTTAGGAACAAATTAAATACAAAGTCTTAAGTTATGCTGATAGTGCTGAAATAAATTCTAGACTACTGTAATAATTCTAATGTTAATCATAATCTTAAGAAAAAAAAATTGAGCAATTATTTTCTATTGCATGCAAACCAAAGCAACGAGAATGAGATTCACTATCTACCATGTTACAAATAGCTAAATTTGAACTGTGTTTACTAAAACCTGAATGAGCCATTGTAAGATCTGAAAGGGTATGGTCAGTTTTTCAGCAGATTCTCTTGCCCTTTCCTTTGTCATGGGATCGGTATTTTTGTAAAAGGAATATTTTTATGCGCCAAATGCAAAGTTCTGATTCCTTTCCTGGTAGTACTGAAAATAATTATTGTTTGAGAATTTTAATCTTATATCCCAGATATGTTTTGTAGATTTTAGATAGGTAGAATTCTGCCACTCGTAGCTTTTGATACAAAAACTCTCGAATGCATTACATTTTCATAAAGCTTTCCACAGCTTAACTATTTTTCTTTTCTCACCTCTTTGACCAGAGTGATGAAAATGAACAAGAGCACCAGTCTGATTCAGAAGAAGGAACAAATAAGAAAGAAACTCAGGTAATTAAAAGAATATATATTGACTTATTAACAGATATATTATGACTGTAAAATTTCTGTTGCAGTTGGATTCAATTAAAGCAATGCATACATTGGAGTTCTAATACTTACTGTCTGATTCATAACTTGATGTCGTGTTTCAGTGCCATTTTTTTTTGCAGGTTTAATTTGGCTAATGTGGAATTAGTACCCAGGAAGTATTGGTGAAATTTCAGGCATACATGTCAGGGACATGCTGCAGCAAGTAACTGGAGGAAATTTTTTGCTTCTAAATTGCAAATATCTTTGTTTCATCATTTTTTATTTCCAGTGAAATGATGTCCTGTGACTATTGCACACTAATCTGAACTTTTTTATATTTAAATTTTGAAATTTAAAGTAAAAAGGGGTATTGAAAATGTAATTGAGATGTAATATGAGAAAAACTGTTGAAGAGCACAGTTTTTTCTGCGCTGAAGAATTTCTGAGCATCCTAACTCAGTACTATCAGTTTTTTGTTAAAAAGGCAGTGGCAAGCAGTACAATAAGCTTGATTTAATGGAAAAAATCCTTATAAACTCATTTGTGCATAAGAATAGGATAAAGAGAACTAAAAGGGAAGTACTGACTTAGTCTATACAATTAAATGGTGTAGCAGACTGTATTTTTTTTTTACCTAATCCTGAAGGAATACTAGAGAATTAGGGTCATTATTTGAGTAATAAAACTCAAAAGGTATAACTGATTTCTCCCATCAGTACTTGTTGTTAGATCTGTAATTATTATATATGTAATTATTCCATCTTCTACTCTGTAGAAATTTCGTTTTGGTACAATGTAATGCTTGTAGTAGAACTCTATAAAACCACAATGAAATTTGGTAAAACGGGCCTAGAATTACAAGTGTGATCTGTGTTAAAAAGGATGAGCGTGTGGGGGTGGAGTAGTGAAGATTGTAGAATTTGCTGCCTAATTCATGGCTTGTCTTAGAAGTGTAGCACAAAATCTGTTAGCAAATTGTAAGCATTCCCTAAGCCTGCATATACTTTTTCAAAAAGGTATTGGTTGTTTGGTAATGTATTACCAGATCTGAGTTCATAGAGAGCTCTGAAATATGTATAAATATGTGAACCAAGCTCAATGTCACCTAACTACATAGATTCATTTTGTTATTATTAATAAAAGCTCTTTGCCAGACCAGCTGTAGAAAGTGGGAAAACAGTGAAAATTGAGTTAAATAACAAAATAAGTAATAAGGTGTTTTTAACAGGTTTGTTCATAAACACAGTTGAACCACTTGAATTTCCAGTCTAGTAGCAAAACTGTAGATAAAATTCTAACCTTCTGTTACTTTCTGGTTAACTAAGAGACATCTTAAAATTTCTATACAGTAATTGCAGTGTTTTCATATTAAGGTGTGATTTTTTTTTTCCTTTGCATACAGTTTATAAGAGATTTAAAACATAATTTAAAATGTTATTAGCTTTCCTTGATGAAAAACTATTTAGAGTTTTTCAGTGATAAACACAGAACTGGATGCATTACTTCTGACAGTGCAGTATTTTGCCATTTGTAGAAAAAGGAAATGGAATATAGACTGAGCATTATAATGGCAATCTCTTCCCAATTCAGTGACAAAAAGTATTTTATTTTACAGAAATTGCAAATCCTTTCTGTGGTTGCTAAATCTACTTCAGCTTGGCACACATCTTGCACAGTTTATTGTAGAAAATTCATCATTATTTGCTGATAGACCCTTTTCAATTTTGAGAAAAGAGATGGAATAAACTAGAATTACAAAGGAGTACTAACATTCAGAAAATACTCTTTTTCTACACTGACTATTTGATGTACTGCTCAGAAGACAGAAGCCTCTAAGAAATACTGAAGTTCTCTGTTAACTCCCTTCTGTGGTTCCGCTGTTGAGTTCTTTTTGCTTGGAGAAGCTACAAGTCAGTGGTAGAAGATGGTTAACTACAAATTTCCAAGAGTTTTGGCAATAATTCAAGAATTCATAGGTCAAGAACAAGCCTTATACATGCTATAAAGAAAATTAAAGGCCTTAGACAAAATAATTTCTAGCTTGAAATCCTTCTAGAACCTGACAAATGCTATTTATTTCAGAGTGGTTTGAAAGAGATTTCAGTTTGTGCATTCTTGTTCCCTATACAGAATTATCATTCAATTTCTTAGTTGATCATTTGACCATAGGGGAGAACTATTAAAAAGAAGTCAAATTTTGCTAACACTGTGACAGTTGGTGGTTGATGTAATTAAATTTTATTTGGGATTTTAGGTGCAAAGAGCTGAGAATGCCACGGAGCTTTCCCATTATTGTTAAACATGCCTGAACAGTGCAATTAGTTGTTTGCTGGTCAAAGAGGAAGATGTATTTAGATTACAGATTGAAGTTTTGTTGATGTAGCCTTCAAGAATTAGTGTACTATTTTCCTTTTTGACAATTAGATTTCACTTAGATTAGAGCTTGGTCTGTGTGTTAAGATTCACAAGTTTTCTTTGCTTTTTGAAGTTATTTGGGTTAGCTATTTGGCCTTAAGCAAAAATAGTTCAAAGTATGAATATGTGATTAAAGTCTGATTTAACAGTGGAATGTTGACCAGACAGACAAAAAAAAAAAAGGACTCAAGGTATAACAGAGTTACCAAGTCTTTTGATAATGAGGAAGGTGTGGTATTTGCTATTCTGATAAAAATTGTATTCCCCATATTACATCAGATGACTCATTATATCATTCTATTCCAGCCGTCTTTTGTTCATGGAAATCTGGCTGCTGTATTGAAACTGGTGCTCTTTATTCCCTCTATGGCACAGTAAGAGATAATGAAAGAAAAAGAAAAAAAAGGAACTTGTATGAGGCAAGGAAAATGAGGTAGAATTTAAGCACGCAAAATATTATCAAGGATATTTGAGAGTTAAGCATTTCATTACAAGAGCATTTGCAGGGGACATAATATGGAATATATGTGGTGAATGAGAAATTACTTCTGCTTGACCAGGGGACCAGACTGGGAAGAGGGTAAAGAAATAATCTGTTCAGGAACAGGCAAGAGAGAAGCATCAAATGGCAATGATTCAAATTTTATTGCTTTTATTAGCAGTTTGTCCTTCTTTCATTAGCACCGAAGCTTGGAGTGCACTTGAACTATACTCAGGAGGACACCTATAGAAGTGGGAAGGGTGGAGGCAGAGTAAAAAAGCCAGAAGACAGCAAAACAACATCCCACCCCACCCCGGATGATGTATTTAAAAAAAATAAGAATTTAATTATGCACTACAACTGGTTAGTTTGTTATTAAATTGACTTAATTTTGTTTCATGATTTTTGAAAGGTGAAAGCTAGCAATGTTAGGATAATAAATATTGTTAACTTTTCTAATTCTGTGGTAGTAGACACAAGAACATGTCATTATTAGTCTCAATTAAATGCTGCACTCAAATTTTATTCTTCATTTTCATGGCTATGGCAGTTTTACAAAACCATTCAATTATACACTATGTATAATACCACCTGACTCGAATATTTCATTTCCATTACCAGTAATTATCCTAACTCACCAAAATGTTGTATAAATATCTGAAAGCTTACTGTACATTTTGAAATACATGGTTATTCAGTGGTTGCACTCTTGCGGTCTATAGAAACTGCTTGTATACGATTAGAAGTGTATTATTTCAACTTGTATACATGAGGATCCCTATGTTTGTATTTTTCCTTCCTTCTTGTGTGTTGCTGATGGAACTTTGGCTACCACAGTCTGCTCAGTTTTGTGAATGTATTAGGAGTATCCATCTCATGTGGTTTGGATGTAGAGGAATATGGTGTTGGCTTCACTTCTCCTCAGACAAGCTTCATACAAAATCTGTAGACTTCTAGTTAAATTTTTTTTGCCAAAAAAAGATTGAAAAATATGAAAAATTGTGACCAAACTGACAGAAATTGAAGGGGAAAAAAAGAAAAGTAAAAACACCTCAAAAAATAACAGACAGTTTCTGAAAAGTCAGGAGACAAGAGCAGGCATGTGCTTAAGACATGAACTCCTCATCCTGGCTGCTGCTCCAGCCCTCCAGCTGCAGGACTCATAGCTCCCAGGAAGCGGAAGCTGCTGAGGCTTCTCTGCAGGCTGTGAGATCAGGCCATGCTGCTCTGCATCCCAGCCTGGAGAATAGGAAAGGGCTGGGTTATTGCTTTCCCGTCTCTGGCAATTAAGTGCTTCCCTGTATCCAGGACTCTTACCTCACCAGCTCTTTTGTTATCTCCCTGCATAGCTGGAAATTTGTGTTCTGCATATGACTTAATAACTTGCTTTCCATTCGGGAAGCTGCACTGCAGCAGGTTAATGGAAAGCCCGGAGGTTTTCCCACAGCACCACAGGGAGCCCACTAGAAGCAAAGAAAAGCAGGCTTTAGAACCCTATTTGTTAAGAAATCACGTAGGAATGGTTTAATTTCTTGTGATAGCTGATGTAGCTAAAGGCTAGAAGGGGCTTGCTTAGCATTTTCATTTGGGTGGCATTCCTTCAAGGTAAAAAGAGAATTCTAGTTCTTATGGACAAAGGTTCCTCTGTTTTGTTGAAGTGAGAAAGAAGGAGCAAGCAGTGGGAAGGGGTTTTTGTGGACATTGATGACATGGTAGAATTCTGTGATCTCACATGGATCTTACTTAATCATAAGATATGCAAAATAAGATTCGTAGGTGGAAAATAAAACTGTTGTGGCCCAAAGCTTAAAAACTAAAAATATGTATCTGTGTGACACCTAGCTGTGATGTTTTCTCCAAAACTCCCTTAAATTCTCGACATTATTCATGCTCCCACAGAAAACAGCATTATCGTGATATGAAAGGCTGCTGCACGTACTTTTGGTAGCCTGTGTGTTGTAAGTCCTCTTCAAGGCATCAAAGGGGAAATTTAACATGTTATGGAGAATGTAACATGTCTTCTATGCAGATTCTAAAAAATGCAGCCCCTTCTTAAAAGAAAAGCAACCTCTGTATCCAAGCACCACCCCCTTTCCCTCCCTCCCCCCCAGAAAAAAATCATCACTGATTAAGACTTCAGCCACTGCTAAGTGAACATCATTGCAGGATGTCCGGAGGATTATTTCTGGAGCAAAATATGTTCACCCAAGATTATTACAATAATTGGAATAAATGATGAGTCTGTATTGACTACCCAGAGGGGGAGAAGGATTGTATGGGTGATGTAATGCTTAGGGGACACTCCTTCGCTCTTAAGTCATCACTTTTAATTAAATTTCACTCATCAGGTAAAGTGAGTATGCTGTATGCCTGCAAGTTCACTTGTAATGAATGAATTAATTAAAGTAACATGAAGAATGAAATGACATAATTTCAATTTAGTCTAATAAGTATTTCTGTATGTTGTTGGTTTAATACCTAGTCATCTCCCATTGAGGGATGCTGAAGCAATGATCTTGTAGCTTATATTTTTATTTTAAGCTGAAGTCATTATTAAGTTGACTTTCCAAAAACAGAATACAGAAGAGGAAGAGAGAATTCAGGGAACATGGTTCTGATGCTGTTTGATAAGAGGAGGGAATCTTAGAAGGCACATCTGTCTCTGGTTCCAGACCTAACAATATTGAAACTTGACAATAATACAATATGTAGTGCTGGACAGTATATGCACTTTGATGTAACTGTTTAGTTATGTTTGTTCACAGGTTATTATATATTTTACATAATTAAATTATTGACTTGATCTTTTTTTCTTCTCTCTTTTTTCTCCTCCCCCTCTCAGAGTGATAGCCTTTCAAGGTATGTGCAATTTAAGTAAAGTAATTTAAAATTATTACACTTCTTAGTCACATATTCTCAATTGATGTGTAAAATTAGCCTAAACTCAGTAGTGAGTCGGGTTGACTTTAAAAGGCAATAATGATATTTAAAATTTATATGGAATATGATTGTAAAGCTACAGTACTGTTTTGGTGGCTCTTTTCCCATTTGTGGGAATTGTCAATATTGTCAATAGTGGAGAATGTATTGGATGCTGCATTTGAAGTACATGAAGGCAGGTGAGGCGTTTTGTAGAATTTAGTGGACACAGTAACATTCCCTACAGATTTTTAAGTGTGAGGTCAGCTTTTGCCAAAAGAAAACGCAGAATATCCTACTGAAAAAATTTCTGAGGAATCTCAGGAAAAATACTAGAGCCTCTGAAAATTATATTTCCTTAAGATTTGTTAAAAAGGAAAAAATGCACAAGTATCAATATATATATATTTTAAGTTTGCATTCGACTTTGGACCTTTAGAATTAATGATGTTTTGTTTATGCTGAAAATCTGTTAAACAGAACTGCTACAGCACATGAACGATGACGAGTGAGCACTATGAAGCTGCTCAAAACTGTATTAATATTATTTGTAATTTAGTGCTTAATAGGGTAAGGATTTTGCTGAAGATTTGTTTCATAAACTGCTTCTGTTGAAATATTAGAATTTGCAATAAGTAGTTTTGAAATCTTCATTTATCCAATAAAGCTTGGAAAATTCATCTTGGCCAATGTTTTATAGATTACTTTTTAAAAACCCTTCAATTAAAGTACTACATTTAAGGTAGTACATGAATTAAAGTGCTCCTTGCCAGGAGTTGGACATGATGATCCTTGTGGGATCTTTTCCAATGCCAAATATTCTGTGATTCTATTACACATTTTTTAAAATAGACCTTCAAAAACCAAGTAGTATCTAAACCAGTAAGTCTTTCAAGACACGGCAACACCTCAATTAAATATTTTAATTTATTTTTTTAAAATTCTCAGCATAAAATGCCGGCATTTGCTTGGACTAGTTGGGAATTCTTAAACTTCTTTCATGGAGAGAATATTGAAATATACTGAAGAACAGTAAAGGGACATCAAAATCTAACTTGCATCAAGTTAGTTTATAGTGGCTTAACTGAAACACATAATTGCATGTGGTTGGTTTTTTTTCACTTGGATGATGGCACGCTTACATACAGACAGACACTTGTCTGGTACAGTGAGTGCTGTCAGTCTGAATAGAAACAAAGAATAAGAACTTGTATTTTGCAGGTATGACACGGGATCACTCAGTGTGTCTTCAGGTGATCGTTACGATTCAGCACAGGGGCGATCTGGGTCACAGAGTTACCTTGAAGATCGAAAACCTTACTGCAGTAGACTAGAAAAAGAAGATAGCACTGATTTTAAGAAGGTAACTGATACAGAAATTTTGTTGTAAAAAATGCTTTATTACTGTTTGTCCTTTTTTTTTTTTTTCATGAATTATTTGGAAACAGTCTCCTATCACAACTTCCAGCAGCTTGGCTCAGTGGAGAAGCAGAACAACCACTGCCATGGGGGGAAATATACATTACAAAACAGCCTGTGGCTTTTGCACTTTTCTCCATAGGCGAGGAAGAAATCCTGAGGAGTCAAAATACTTCATCATTTTATGACAAATTTGATCAAACTGTTTTTGTAGTTGATTGTATTATTAAAACTGCTTCATACATGCATTGAGCTTTTATTTGATGTTTGCTACCTTACATACAAAAATTCGTTTAAATCTTGCTTTAAAATTGGAGTTTGTAAAAAAAAAAAAAAAGAAAGAAAAAAGGACTCTGTTGTCTCATCTGTAGTGTCTGAAGCAAAATATTGGCAAGTATTTTTTAATGCTCCCTGTGCAAAATTGCTTTCTTCTAGAGATATTTGGTAGCAATTCTTTACAGCGTTTGCTAATTCTAACCATCTTTAAACTCTGAAACTGATTTTTACTTCTCAGACTGTTAATGTATTTGTTCATTTTACATGCAGCTCAGTCATGGTTTTTAAAATGTTTGTCTAATGTCACTGAATTCTTACTCAGTATGTTTTTAAATTAATATTTTGTCTTAGCTTTATGAACAGATCCTAGCTGAAAACGAGAAGCTGAAAGCACAGTTACATGATACCAACATGGAACTTACAGATCTTAAACTACAGCTGGAGAAGACCACTCAGGTTTGTATTAAACAAAAAGGCCCATACTTAGCTGACAAAGCAAACTAGAAGCATCCTAGCATAGGGGCTGCTATTTACTAGGCATCAGCTTTGTTTCTTATCCAAAGATGGGAGTGAAGAAATGTACCTCTCTGTTTATAAAGGGAAAAGAGTGCAGGATTATAGTCTTCAGCTCTGAACAAAATGTTTGAGGCCATTTCCTGCTTGTTTAATTGCTGGTGGTTCTTGCCAGCACATATGTGGGACTTCTGTGCAGGTAGGAATAAACACTTTGAACACTGCTAAGCCTGTGTTCAAACTGTCAGTCTGATTTCATTGATTAATTCATACACCTACTGGCAGATTGGCATAATCTGCCAGTTCTTTCTACCTGGGTAAATAGCTGTACCTGAGAGCTGAAGAGCAAATAGTGCACTTCATTTACAGGTAATTGCTGTCAGATAACAGTGCTGCATAAGGTAACACCAAATATGTACACAAAACTGAAATTCTTCTTAAATTGCTGTAGAAAGAATGTTCCTCATTCTCAGATCACATTTGCCACAACTGACCTGTGTACATATTTCAGTGTCTTCCATATGCTCTCTGTAAATATCAGTAAAGTATGAGTAAGAAGATGTTTGTTTTGTAGAGCTTTTAAATAGAAAAAGCTAAATTACTACTATTTGCCAAAGGCTACACAGAGATTAAGTTACTTAGGGATGGTGACACAGGAAGCTTGTGATAAATCCAGCACATTCTTCTTTAGTTTTTATTTCAGTGGTACTTCCTTGAACACATTTTAAAATGCTTTTAAAAGCATACTTTGAACAGAATGCAGTAGCAGTTACCCTTATCAGAAATGCGTTTTATATTGCCATTCCTCACTGTTGCACTGTTTGAGAACAAGTAACAATATCTTCATTAATTTTGTGTTTCAGAGACAAGAAAGATTTGCTGACAGATCGCTCCTGGAAATGGAGAAAAGGGTGAGTTACTGCCAAACATCTCTTGAGTAGTTCGATTTGGGTTTTGTTTTAGTTTGTTCTGCAACCTCTGACTTGAATATATTTTAGTGGGAACAGAAGCCTTTCTTATAACTTGCATTTTTTAGAAGACTGGGGGATTTTAGGTTTCAGAGTAGCAATGAACACGAAAGACTGTCAGATGGAATTACTCTTAAGAATTGCCTGCAGGTTGCCTTGTTGATAACCAGGTTGTAAACCCCACTGCCCCCCAGGATTCTGCAGCTTGTTCCATCTCGTCCAGAACAATGTTGGCCTCCAGAGAGTTAAGCACTTTCAGAGCATCTCATCTTTTAGTGCATTTCCAACAGAGACCTTAATTTCCTCAGAGCTTTCTGGAGGCATGTGCATCGTCTTACCAATTATCATTGGTAATGAAGTAGCTGTTTCTATCCCACAGACATCAGACTTTGAACCTGCTAATGTTATAAAACTAATTACAGACTTTCCTTGTACTGTACCTTTTTCTAGAGGGACTATCATGCTGTGTACGGGCAGGGTGGAGGCAAATGAATGAGCAGTGCAGGAAGAGGGGCATTAGAGAGAGACAGCCCTAACTTGATGGGGAAAGGAGACATGTAATAAATCCACATATGAGACAGACTGCAGGGATTATTTCAGTAGTTGTGCCCATTATAATTTTAGGCTGTAGTTTTACACTCGTTTAAAACCCATCCCAATAAAAGTTTATTTCAGCAACAATTTAAACCAAAGCAAAGTTTGTTCTGATGTGGTCCTGGCTTCCTTTATGTCCTTTATGTACCTTTCTCCTTCCTGATCCTGGAGTGACGCGTTAGATATTAAAATGGGAAGAAAACTAAATGGACATTGATGGTAGTAAGTGGTATGGTATATATTTACTTATTCCTAGTAAGCTTGACATTTACTAGCCCTGTACGTTTACTTTCCAGTGTCTGAGGTTTAGAAAACAAGTTTTAGTTCTACAAACCTATGAGGTACATAAATACTCAGTTTTATTGGAGAACATAAAGATGCACAAATCCTCTCAGGCAGTTTGTGAAGTTCCATTAGTTTTATCTTAATAATCTCTCCAGATAATTGAAGCAACCTTTTAGTGCCTATTTCTGTTTGTTCTTGTGGCCCTGTGCTGTAGGCAGTGATTTCATCAGTAAAAAACTTTCATCAGCAGCTTTAATTGGTTTCTTGCTTGCTATCATGGCCACACAAGTGGACATTTAATTATTTCATAGGTTTGACTTTGACTGTATGCATTATTACACAGATGCCACATCCAGTATTGCACATCTTGACGTTATTTCAGTATTAAATTACTGTGCTGCTTGTTCCTCAGACATGCCATTGTGTTAAGACAATTGGCTATTTTGGGAATTCTTGCACCTTTTTCCTGTATTAATGCTTAGTTCAGTAGCAGAAACATCCTTTGGAAATGTTACTCGTTCTGAAGTTATCAAGACCGAACCTAGCAGTTAAAAAGGTAAATAAAATTAGTGATAGTGCTGTATGGCTGAAACCTGATCTACACAAGATTTAGGAGATCTTCTTCTGTTTTATGATGTTCGATTTACTTCTTGTCAGGCAATAATTTTGAACAGGAATTTATTTGTGATTCTGTTTTCCCCATTAGATCCAGAGTTGCTTTCACTTTGACAGTGACTGAAGTAGGATTCTCAGCTGCTAGTCATAACTAGCTGAGGTCTAGAAGTAAGCTTACTAACTGTGGGGCTTTAGGAATAATTTAAAGAAGTCTTCTTTATATGGGTGAAGTAATAGTATAAATGAGAAAGGTTTAAAAACAAACTGTAGAAATTTTCTAAGTATAATTTTCCAAGTATGACTTGAATAAAATAAAACAAAATTGAAGATACTGATGTAAGTTCATAGAAGAAAAAGGCAGGACAAAAGTAAAGTAGCAAGAACAGATGAGGAGAAATAGAAGGCTGGCAGAGAAAAACCTGACAGCATCTTTGAACTACAATGTATTCCAGTTGTGAAATACTTTTACAGTAAAGAAGGTGGGAATGCTTATAAAACCTAGAAGTTCACTGTGACAGAATTCAGAAAATATAAATTTAAAACCTTCATCAGTTGATTTCTACTATGTGTTTTGGTTATGCACAGTCAACATTTGTCATTTAAGGACTAGCAGTATGTTCTTAGGCAAAAATTTGGCTTTTGTTAACAGTTATCTATCACTCTGAAAAGTATATTAAAACCCATACTGCAGGATTTCAGTATGGATCAGAATTGTAGGCACCTTCAACCAGTTAGCTCCAAATTCATTGTGGATGCCCTGTCCCTGGAGGTGTTCAAGGCCAGGCTGGAAGGGGCCTTCCCTTCTAGTATTAAATGCAGGGATTGGTGGCCCTGCATGGGGCAGGAGCTTGGAGATTCATCATCCTTGAGCTCCTTTCCAACCCAGGCTGTTCTGTGATTCATCATCTAAGAATTTGTGATGGGATGAGGTGGGCTTTTTCGTTTGTTTATTACTGAATTTTTTAACCTGTATATATCCATGTACCTCAGTCTTATTGCACCGACTGTTGTTTCTGGTTGCTTTAATACGTGGCAATGAGCTATTGTCTTTTATACACTCAGAAACTGCCATGTGTTTTTTTCTTCGTCTTGAGAATTACAAATGCTTTTTGTCGTACCTTAGAGAAATGTTGAAATACAAAACATCTTAGGTTGAGTAAATTTCAAAGCCTTTCTCTGAGTTCAGAGACTAATCAGACAATATTGGCGAATCTTCTCCGTGAAACTGAATGTCCTTTGCTGGCCACTTCCTGAAATAGCAAGCAGTTCAGGAAAAAAGGAAGGATGTTTTTTCACACAGAAGGTGGTGATGCACTGGCACAGGTTGCCCAAGGAGGCTGTGGATCCCCATCCCTGGAGGCATTTGAGGCCAGGCTGGATGTGGCTCTGGGCAGCCTGGTCTGCTGGTTGGTGACCCTGCACGTAGCAGAGGGTTGAAACTGGATGATCATTGTGGTCATTTTCAACCCAGGCCATTCTATCATTCTTTGAAAAAAGGAACATAGTTTCATCTAATTAGAACTATATGTTTTTTACAACAAATGTTATATCTAGTCCAGTCCATTTAAATGTTTATTTTATATAATGTGAGGCATGCGAAGGTGATGAAATAAGGATTTTGTTTAACTGGCTTTTACTGCAAGTAGTTATTCTTAAACAAGTTCAACAAGCAAGTTAAGCAAATTCATCCAAAGGACTAAGGATTTTTAGCTATCTGAAATTGTAAGATTATTTGATCCGTCATTCATCTCTTGGTAATTACAGAAATTGCCCAATATTGCTTATTGTAACAGCACTGATAATATATGTTATCCTGCAAAACTTCTGGGTAAACTAAGGTTCTAATTAATGTAAAATGGTGTGAGTTTTTTTGTTAGTCACTTGTTTGCTGCAGTTAACTCACTGATATTTATTATGCCATTATTGTCAGTCAGTATCATTATGGCAAAATTAGTTACTTGAAGAAGTATAGTACCTTAAGTACTAACAACTGCAGTAATCTGTTATATTGATAAACCTTTGGAATTGTTTGCTAAAATGGGAAAATGTTGGGGAATAACTGCACTATGATTAAACTAAATTCAAATGATTTGTATCTGAAAGGTGTCCGGCAAGAGTCAGTATCTACTGGGCGGTATGATCTAACCAAAGTTTTACACACCTCAGTCAATGCTGCTTGCTGTTTGCATAACACCATTGTATGCAGATGCATATGTACACCTTGCAATAATCTGTTGCTTTTGCCTTTCACACTTTGGAAAAAATATGAATGTAGAATACTGAATAACCGCAACTGCTTTTAAACGAGATACACTGCGATGTCTGACACAGGAAAGCAAGCAAGCTATAAACCCCTGAAGTCTACTGCAGTAGCTGTTGATCTGTCAAATGTGTGAAAACAAGGTTTAAACAAAACAGTAGCGCTTAGAAACATGGTAGTGTATCTGCACTGCAGACTGCAGCATAGTATAGAAAACCATCAGCTAATTTTCAGTAAGCTACCTTGGGTACTTAAATGAGAACTTGACATTCTTGACAAAGGCTAATTTCTCCTGCTTCTCAAGTAAGAAGGAAAAAAAAAAAAAAAACCATACTATACTAGAAACGCAGAAAATACTCAGGAAGCATTTACTGAAGAAGCAGGTGATCTTACGTGGCTAGATTTCTTTGGTACTCAGCTGAACTGACGTAAGTTTGGGTTGTATCTACACTACGTTGCAGTTTAGAGTGTAGACAGATCCCACTGAGCTGAGGCACATGTTTCAGCTACATTTGCTTGTCTTTGAAAGCTTACGCTTTTGTGCTTCTTTCTTTTAATATTCTTGTTTGTTTCTGATCATTTTCTGCATTTCTTGTATATAAAGCTTTTCCAGAAGCCTAGCTTATAAAAATAAAGCCCAAATAAATGGTGCTTATGAGCTGTCTAAATTTATGTAAAGGAAGGGGTATCTTTTGTAGGACTTGATATCTCTTCCTCCTAAGTTATTAAAATGGAGCATTGAAATAGTTTCTGTTTATCACTGCCATCACAAGTTTCCTGTCTACACTGTGCTTCTGGTTGTATGATCTTTGAAACTTGAAATATTTCACAGTTATCACAGTATTTACAAGCAGTAATTAGTAAAAAAGGTATTGTTTGGTGTTAACATACATTTTTTTGGATTTAGGAAAGAAGAGCTCTAGAAAGAAGGATATCTGAAATGGAAGAGGAACTGAAAGTAAGTATTGTTGAATGCTAACACAGTGTATTGATGTCAGTGGCTTAAAACAACACTTAATCTAGCAGTATTTCCAGTCTCTATAATTTCAATAGAAAATAAATAAATTATTGGCACATTCAAAGTCAGCAATTTCTTTTTTTTTTTTTTTTGTAGTGAAGTTTTTCTTGCTGTTATCAGCAGTCATATATGTAGGACTTACCTTCTGGGACGGTGTTGGGACTTACACTGGTATAGCACATTCACTGATGAGAAGCATTCAGAGATGTCGGCAGTGAAATATATCTTGATCTGATCAAGGCAGGATTGCAGTCTTTGTTTTGGATACAATACTGTCATGTTTATTTAGTTAAAAATAATGGTGTATAATTCTGTAGATTAAGCACAGATAATTTCATAGACTAAGCATTAAATGTTGCTTCAATCCTTGTCTCGTGTTCATTAAATTCTGTATTAGGAAGCGTGTTTCCAGTGTCAGAAGAAAAAAATATGTTTATATAGTTAGTAATAATCAGTTTTTAGTGACCAAAAAAGCAGCAGATAATTTAAATTTCAGATTGTAACAGAAAAGCACCATATACCACATGCAGTGAATAATAAAATGTTGTGCTTTGACTTGTCTCATTCCCTAGTTTATCAACATTTTAAGTCCTTTGATATGATCAGAAGTCTGAGAAATCTAGCAAATTTGTTTTGTGTTACATCCTTGGATATAATATTGGACAGAGCCTGCCAAGCTGATAAAATTAAGATTCAACTGGAGAACTAGTGGAACATGATGAAAACATCTTTCTTTGCCATAATTTTGAGAAGCCACTGTTTTGAGATTGGAAAGTTGTCATCAATTAAAAAGTTTCCTTTCAGTCTCATTTTTGAGCTCCCTCTGGTGCTTGGAAACTGCATTAACTGCCAAATCCTTGTCATTAAAACACATGCACTGAGGTTTGTTGTAATTGAACCTGACAAGCAGAAGTAAACAGGATTCAGGACAGCTCTAAGGAGAGGATGCAGCATATGAGGTTCTTAGAGGGGTCTTCAGAAGTGAAATCTATATGAAGCTTTCTATGGCATAGGAACATAATTGGTTTTATGAGGTGGATGAAGGAGATATGAGCTTCTATTACAGGCCTGTAAATTGTTGGTAGGGATAGTTGGGATACAGAGGAAAATGGAGAATGCAAATGCCTTGTGTTTTTTAAAAGTCAGCTTCAGTTTGTGAGAGTTTTGAATTAAAGATTAACACTCTTCCTGTTGTTTGTTGCACTGTCATGTACATATACGTATTAAGTGCAGCATTATTTATTGAGTTTTGAATAGATTTTTATTTACTTATTTATTGTCACAACTACAACATTAAGTAAAGAATTCCCAGGATAACTTTCATTGTCGATGTGTTGTGAGCTGTTTTGGAAAGCTGTGACCAATCACTGCTGGTTCTTAGATTGCTTTTCAGGAATGTGCCACTTGTCTGATACTTCCACTTCACAGCGAGTAATCTACTTTAAACAGGACTGTCTCTTCTAAGTTTTCTTTCAGTCCTGCTATCTCTAGTTCTTTTAAACGTAATATGCATGTATGTTTTTTCTTTCTCATTTTCACCTCTATTTCTTTGATTCCCACAGCACCTGCAACAAATAAAGCAGATTCACTCTTTGAGGCACATAAATGAGCGTCTGGTGACTGAGAATAGGGCCTTGACCCGTGTGGTTGCCAAGCTGTCAGGGTCCTGTAGGCAACTGCATCCTGTGGACTTGTAATTTCTTCCTTCTGCTTTGTGTAGCCAGGCAGGTGCTGACAATAAGTTTGTGCTTGGGTAGAATTGTACTATTAACTCCTGTGTGTTGGGAGCTGACTTACTGCTTGGTGATGGAAGTGTGGCTAAAGCATGGTGTCTGGTGTACCAAATGGAGATGCTGCAGCTGTATTGGTATGGTGTGATGTTGTTGATACTAGCACAGAAGCTTGTTGTTTTTCCCTTATAGCTAAGCTGGCAAGGGTTCACGAGATCTTTGACGCCTTAACACCCTGGCAACGATTTGAAAGGATTTGTGTTGAGTTTGCATTAGGATACACTGAAGTCACCAGTTAGGAGTTTGAATAAATGCTTGAATCAACAGATTTATCTCTGGTTTTCTAACAAATTGAAGTTAAGAATGGGTCTTTCTTACTGCAGTATAATTCAAATGCATAGAACTAAAATAGATCTAGCTGCAACTAAAGAAAGTTTGAAAGCTGAAAGTTGAGATTCTGGTGCAGTACTCCGCATTTCTGAACAGCTGCATTAGCAACTGTATTTTTTACATTTGTCTGATTTTATGTTCAGAGATTGTCGAAGTCTTCCTTTAAAAATACTGACTTGAAAGTCAATTTGTCTTTTCTATACGGAATTCCTGCGTGGTGCTGTACAATCTTTATTTTTATCTTGACTGAGCTTAGAATTTGCAATTGTAGCTCTAATTTGAAGGTTACAGATATATACTGCTACGTACGCCGCAGGTGTTCCAGTTATGGACCTATGGTCCTATCATGCAAGGACTAAACAAATGGACACAAAAACACTCTGCCCAGAGTGTTAGATTGGTTTACACTTACTGGGTCATCCTGTCCATTGCCCTTCTGCTAAAGATATGAACTGTTTTAGCTGCCATTTTGGAAAAAAACATGGGTTTGTTGCAGTGTTACTGTAGGGCTGTTTGGGAAACCCACTGGAGGTTCAAAAATTCTGCATGGAACAGAATATAGTTTCACTCCATGACAAATCTATTAGGCTTTCTTCCTCCTCTTACATAACAGCTGTATGAGGTGGAGGTTTCAGTGAGTATTTAAGATTTGTAGGTGCAGATAAAATCATTTTCCTTCTGCACAGTGATTCTTGTTAATGTGTTTCTCCTTACCTGCCCCTCTTCCCTCTCAGAAGCAAAGAGATGAGTGCACACTTTTCCTTTCTGCTTACGGCGTCAGATCTCAGGTTTTTCCAGTCAGAGGCATGAAATAAATAGCAACTTTATCCTTTGGCTTTATGTCTCTCTGAAGGTGACCTAACAATAGGATGTGGATAGAAAGGTTGATCCTAGTCAGCGCCCTGCATTCCTGAACATTCCCTTGCGTTAACCCTTAGTGAATCAGTCGGCTCTCTGATCTGGCTGAGAAGAAATCCCATTGGTGGTTGTACAGTTTGATCCACCTTACTGCAGCATGTTTGTGTAACTAAAGCTAGCACTCAGCAGCAGGAGCGTGTTGCTGCAGGAGGAGGGGGAACTGTCCCTTTAAGGCAGCCTGTCTTAGACCAGCTTCAGCTAACAAGGTGGGTTTTCAACACAGCCAAGCTAATCTAGTGTCAGCTGTCCACAGCCACATGTCCCTACCATGTTTTTTTTGCAACCACTGGCATTCCTTTAACCATGCTAAGCCTTTTCAATATGTTAAACCACACAAAATCATTCAGTATTCTCTTTTTTAGAGGAAGTTTTAAAAGGCAGATCACGGTGAAGCTCAAGGAGCAGCACTAGCAAAGAAAAGCTTGGCTACACAGTAGGGAGGCTGGACGTTTTGATGGTAGCTTGACCATAGCACTGTGGCTGATTAATCTGAACAGTTGTCTTGACAGTGCATGAGCTTTCTCTAATCATAATGTACAAAGCTCTTTGTTACATACAAACTGTTAAATCCTCCAGCAGATAAAGACATTATTACTGAGCTGGTTCCAGCAAGTGGTTATTGAAAAATTATTTGATCTGCTACAGTACTGCAAAGTTACCAGCTAATCATGTAATACAGGTAGGCAAAATAATGCATTTTTAATCTTATTCAAGAATCTCGTCAAGGCAAGATACTCTATTACTTAACTGGAAAGGAAATTGGAATTTAAAGTACTAAGTACAGTATGTAATTGCAAATTGTAGTGGGTTTCATGCAGAGCTTTTTTCTGCTTCTCCACGTGAAAGTCATGTGATGCCATTTCGTAATAAGTTTGAGTACCATAGGAATGCACTGCTCCAAGAAAATTGCATAAATGTCTTTAGTTAGGCTTAATATGTAGTTTTATATGTCAGGATTAGTATAGATGGGAAGTGCAAGTATTTTATGTTGCCTAACCTTATCCTTTTTTATAAGTCTCCTATTACTTACAACTCCTTTTGTCTTCCACCTATCTTCCTCTATTCTTTAGCAGACTTACAACAAAAGAAAATATTTTCTTAATATGTATTCTGCCTATTACTTTAATGAGGATTTAAATTTATCCACAATGATTTGCAGACATGTAATAGTACCAGATTGTGTTAAAACTCTAAATTTGAACGGGGCCTTTTTGCTGTTGTTATTAAAATGATTAATCAGAAAATGCAGCAGTTTCTGGGTCTGCCTGCATAACGTATTGACTGCTGCTTCCTAGTCACTGAGTTGAAGGACTGTAAAGTAACTGGAATTGCTGTGGTTAGATGGACTCTCCAGATTGGTTCTTGCCCCTTCTTGTCCCAGTAGACCCTACTCAGTCACAAGACACTAATTGGAGGTCACAAATCTAAGACATCAGAATGAAAAATACAGAACGCGTTTGATCCCTATATGTGTATATATGAGAATTCTCTTGGATAGTGCCATAGCTTCTTGCTTTTTTCCCCCTGCAGGCACTGCATTTCATGGAGTAGGTAGCAGCATTAATTTAACCGTGCAAACTCACAGAACACAAAATTATCTCTTCTTACTCTTAAGATTTGGGTTTTTTTGTGTGTGAATTTTCTCACTGTGAGTTTTTCAGAAAGTAAATCAATGTCTCTTCAGAGCAGATACATGACATGAAGTAGTGGTAATAAGCTGTCGTACAGTGTAAAAACCACAGATATTATTTGAAAATTGTCAAATGATGGCTTGTGTTGCTCATGTTCAAATATGTTGACGTGGTTTTTGAAAGCAATTGGTACTTATGGCACTTGATATTCAGAGCACAGCTTTCACTTGACTGTGATGGAAGCTGTAGAATTAAAGCACTCTGACTCCCTGTGAAGAGTTCAGTTTGGGTGGCTTGCCCTGAGCCACACTATGGAGTAGAGCTGGAATCCAGGATAGCAGAATGATTCTAGTTGTGGAGATCACCTTTTTTCCCACTTGTTATCCTGTTACCTTTTGTTTCACATACTCCGCTATTTGCAGGTAAAGAAAGTAGAGAACCCGCAGCCTCAGTCCTGCCTTGTGCACCATCCTGTTCACTCTGTGAGAATCTGCTGCTAGCAAACTGATTGTGGACAGGAATCCTTTGGAGGAGATGTGTAAATGAAGGCTTAAACTTCACAGTTCCTTCTGCTCCATAACAATGTTCTGAGTATAAGGGGTCTGCAAGTATGATTTTGCAAGGATAAAATGAAAACAAAACTAGTGGCGTGGAAGTTTCATCGTGAAAAATTAAGTAGTGGTTGTTACATTGGTCATCGGTTGGACCTCTTGTGTGCTCTTGCACCTTGAAGGTTCCTGAATAACTACACTGTAGAAATAGGCTGTTGCCCCCTGTGGAAACCTGCTGTTAGAAACCATACGTGGAATATGGCTGTGAGTTTTATAGGTGGCTTGTTATCAGTGTGTGAATACTGACACTGAGAATTTCTGAGATTACTTCTAGTTTCTCTGATAAGTTCTGCTCTCCCAGTACAAAGCTCTGTGCACTGGCTTGTCCTCCTCTCCTGTCTGATCCTGTCCAACTCTCACCTCACTTGGCTTCTGCCTTCCAGCTCTTGTGTTTGTGTGTCAGCCATCTCCTGTGGCAACCTTAACTTGCCATCTCCTAACTGGTGTGCCTGAGCGCAGCCTGGTGTTTCGGTGATCTGATCTTGTGTGAACCATGCTATTCAGGGATGGGACCTCAAAGAACAGGATGTGCGCTTGCACACAAGTTTGGAAGTGATTGAAAGATTAATGCTTTGAGTTAATAAGCTGAATCACACTGTATCTGATCAGGATGAAATCATCCAAGAGAACAGTGGCAGATATAATTAGCTATGGCATGTTATTTTGAAACTGTGCAAGTGCAGTGTAGATGAGCCTCTTTAAATTATCACTGATTAACATTTTTTGTTTTGCACTGAAATCTGAAGCATTTAATTGCTTTCCTTATGCTACTCTAAATGCTTTTGTGGAGAGGCTGCTCGTCTGCACCACTTCATTTTAGTGCACCTAGACCAGGCAATTGAAAGTTCTTAATGCATAGCTCCTAACTCTGTCGTGCTAAAAGATGAGAATTTTCTGAACTGCTGGTGCAAAGGGGGCAATAACGACCAAAATATTTCAACTGAGTGGACATTTTTATCCCCAGTGCTTGTCTGCTCTTGTTGCTGTTACTTAGAGTATAACAGCAAATAACCATTGTGTTTCTTTTTTGATAGATGCTACCAGACCTGAAGGCAGACAACCAGAGGCTAAAAGATGAAAATGGGGCCTTGATCAGAGTTATAAGCAAACTTTCCAAATAAAGGGCTTACTACAGCAGCAGATACCGGTATTGCACATCGTGAGTAACTCCAGTGGACCACAGTATGGCAGTCACTGGAAGTGTGGGAAGATCCCTTGGAGACTGTCATTTTCAGATATCCTGCCAAACGCCCTCTTACCTGTGTGTTTTTGTATCAAGATCATTGTTTCTGTTAAAATGCAGCTGCTGAGAAGAAAAATGACTGAGAAATCTTGTTTACAGCTACAGCATTATAAGGAAAGTGTTCAAGGCCAGATACGCCTCAGATATTTAACCAGTAAGCCTTAGTTGTACATAAACACTTTTACATCAACAAAAGCTTTCAGCTCTCACAGAAGACAGTTACTCAATAATGTTTTTGTTGTGCCACAACTCCCAGGTTTTTTTTTCTATACTCAGTTTTTCTTTAAATCGTAAGTTTGGATTTTTTTTCCCTTCTAATTATTCATGTACCAGATTTTCTTGTACAGTGTTTTCACAGCTTTACCATTTGCAGAGACCACACACCCTTTTAAATTACATATTCGTGTAGCTACCTAGAGTTGTATTGTCCAACCACCTGGAACAGAGATGTTTGGTGGAACGTTTGCTTTCACTGTTTGTGCAATATGCATTTATTTCCTATACAGAATGCTTTAAAAGTCAGTTGAAACTAGAATTATTTTAAGAGTCCTGTTTTCTGCCTTCATCGGTCACTTAAAAAAAAAAAAAGTTTGTAGTGAAAGATGCTAGATCCTGTAATCGTCACATTCATTTGAGCAGGTACTGAGTGATGCTGTATATATAAATGTGTACTGGTTTGATTTTTCAGACCACCACGTGGCATGCTTGAATATATTTCCCTATTGCAAATGTCTGTTAATGCAAATTAGGCTACTCCAGAATAGTGTGTTTAACAAAGTTCATTAATTTTTATGGTATAAAGAATTTAGACATTGTACATTGTATGGAGCCCTATCTTTACAAAAGGTCTAAACTATATAAAATACTTTATTATCTTTTCTTCCCAGTTGTTTTTTTTTTTCATTTGATAGTGTTCACCATAATAAAAAATGCATAAATATAACTGCTTCACTACATTTCACATACCTGTATTTATCCGAGTGCTGTCCAAAACTGTTGTGCTAGCCAAAGTAATCTTACTAAATCATTTGAAAAACATAACCCGTTACACTCACATTAATGTTTATATGCACTGTTGCCATGTGAGAAGGCATCTAATTTGATAACACCATCGTGTCAGACCATTTTATACATTTCAGTGGCCTTTAAAAACAAAAAAAGTACTTAAGTGAAGATTGCTTTTGTTAGAAACAGCTTTTATATTTCATTAAACCATTCGGAATACGACATCCTATCGGCACATAACTTTATTGCCTAAAACCACTGACCAGATCAGCCATTAAAACCGATTGTACATTGTAAAGCTTGTAGTAGCTATTGTATTATTGATTATATTGTATACTACATTAAATGTGAATTTGTACCCCTTCATTTAAAAAGGTCATTGTGTTCTACTGCCTCCTGGGGGGTGGGCTTAGCTTTAGGGGGGTGGGATATGTTTGGGGAAGGAAGACGCGATGTCCTCTCTCCGTTGGTTTTTTGAAGATGTAAGGTTATGCTCTCACTACCAAGCTCAGGATTCTTGATTTTAAAGGTACACGGATGGTCTGAGATACCTGATTGTAATCGATCTGTGTGAGAGGTGGGGCTGAACCGTAGGGAACTTCCATTGTCATATGCTAACATAAAATAAGCGGAGAACTGAACGGTTTGAATGGCTGCAGCGTACTGAGTTCTGTTACAAGACAGTTAGGCATATTCTCGATTATATTTGGTAAAGTTTGGGTGCCTGTGAATGATTAAATACGTGTTTCTAATATTTTAGTGTTTTATATTTAGGTTATTTATTCTTTATATCTTAAAAAAGATGAATGGCTACTGTGCTATATTGATTTTATTGGTAGTACTGAGCAGACCTTGTATCTGCATGAAACTAGTTGCAAAACCCACTATTTTGGAAAAAAAAAAAAAAAAAAGAAGTATTTTGACATATACAAATAAAATGAATACAAACTATTTTAAATGTGTGAAAGTTTTACTGAGAAGACACTGAGATTTGTTACGAACTTAAGCGATGTTGTAAGTTTGCTGTTGAAATTCTTCGGTGGGCATTTTTCATTCATTGCGTCATTGGGATGCCAAATTCGAGTACCTTTCAAAGATTGTAATCAAATGGTGATTATTTGCACATCGTTGTACATGCACATCTGTAAATGCTACAGTAAAAATGCCATATTTATGCAATCTGTAACAACTTGGACAAATGTTTATATATTTTACATAAACCTGTCTGTGTGCAGAATCTGAGAACCATTTTTTATGTGATGTTATCACAAGCTCACAGAGCGATTGCTAACCACGTGTCACGACTGCACTGTACCCTTTGTGTTGCAGACCAAATGCAGCCCGGGAAAATCACACTGGTGCACAAACAGCGTAGTGACAGGAGTCTGCTTTGTGATTTAGGGACAGTTTGTATGTGAGAAATGCATTATTGCCAGCTGTTGACTCCAACAAGTCTACTGAAGTGACCAATAGCTGAAATGGTCATTCAGAACAGCAGCTTAGATTCTCGGAGGACCTCTCCCAGTGTAGAAAGGGAGGGATATTTGCGTGCCACAGGTTAACACCAAATACAGATGGAAGCATGGACAGAGCTGAAGGAAGAGGCAATGGGAATGCATAGAACCACCCATTAGCGAAGCTGTAACCCCCAGAGGAGGAGTGATGACCATGTGTGGGAAAGCAGCACCAGGTGCAGGGAGGATGGAGGGACTGGGTCTGTATGGACCATGGCACTTAATGGTTCCAAATGCTAAAAATAATTTCCCAAAATAAGGGGCTCTGCAGATTAAGCCACTATTTTTTCCCACCCCAGCTCCCTCGTCGTGATCTATTTCCTCTACATGTTCCCTGTTCCTAGTTGTGCACTGCTGTCAGACTTCTGCCAAGTTTGAATGAGGAAGGGAGGACCTTTCTCTGTAGATTGGTGCATGTTTTGTTAAGTGCCAAATACAAAACACGAACGCCCCAGTGTTACTTTCCATGCTAACCTCTGGTTTGTTAATGCTCAGGTGAGCACGAATGCTGGCTGTTTATCTGTGCAGCACTCTCAGCCACTGTTCATTGGGTGATCTTCTAAAGGTATCCTGTCTTCAAGTTCTGGTGCTTTCATTATGCAGCTGATAACGTGTTTTATAGGTGAAATTTAACTTCCAGCTACAATCCCAAAGACTTCACAGCAAAACGAGAGAAATTCACTGCATAACAAACAGTTCATAAAAGAAAAACTACGCAGCTATAAAAGCTTTACATAATTTGTTATGGAATCTTTTTTTAAAAAAGAGAATGGAGGAAGGACTGTAGACGATGTAGATGGTTGTGTCCCCACGGTTTATGGGCACACTGTTAACGTTTAATTGTGGTGATTTAGCTTCCTTAGGTTCTTAGGTCAAAGCCACAAGTAGCAAGGGGCAGAAATGGTGGTGACAGTGGTACGTGCTTTACCTTTGTCCTGGGTGAAAGAGCAGCAGCTGGGGTTTGCTACAGTCACAGGAAGGATTTACCCAACAGCCCGGTCAGAAGGTGGCTGCGTGAAAGGCAGAATTAAAGCAAACAAAAAAATACCTTCATAAACCCACACCGAAGGGAGAGTTGCTGCCACACTGGTGAAGTCATCGGCTGTTCCTGCTTTTGTCAGCACCTCCCCATTCTGTGTTACTGATTAGATAGGGAAAGTATGTAGTCGTTGGAGAAAGGAGGAACTGTTCGTTCTTCATGTGAAAGCATCACCTGTTGGATGTCTAATGTTTCAGATCTGCTCTGGGATAAAAAGCCCCACATTCCAGCTAATTATTTCACCCTTCTCGCTTGGGTTTCGCAAACCCGCTGAAGCTGAGCAGAGCGGTTAGCCAGGGCAGCACAGCTCCTCTCCCAGTGCGGTCTTTTCCCTTTGTTATGTGCGCCAGACGAAGAACCAGGGGGGTGGGTGAGAAGAGCCGTGGGTGCCGCCTTCGGGCACTCCACCCGGCCTTCCGAGCAGGGGGGCGGAGGCTGAGCTCAGAGTGGGGGGCTGCCGGGCCTGCGGGGCTCTGCCATGCGGTGTGACCTTCCGGCAGGAAGCGGGGCATTCAGGCCCTGGTCAGTGCCAGGTGTGAGGCGGTGCGATGGTTCTTCTCGCCCGCAGGAGGGGCGGCCGGGTGCGGAGCTGCTGCGTTCCGGCTGAACTCGAGCTGCCGCTTTAAAAGGGCTTCCCAAGTCTGGGATGAAATGCGCAGCTGGGTAAAACGTATGAACGATACGCAGGCTGCTGGCTGCAGCCACGAGATTTAACAAAACGTGAATTTGTTAAAAACAACCGAAAAATCAAGCGCTAGAACCTTCCGCTTTGCACAGCCTGCTCGTACCGCAGGCGCGGTTCCCCAGCCGCCATCCAGTCACCCATCGCCTTCGGCCGCCAGGCCCTGAGCTGCTCCCGGGACACGAGGCGGCCGCCAAGCGGCGCCAGAGCTCCTGGAGCGGCTGCTGAGCCGCGCTGCCAGGCCGCGTGCCGCTGTGGGGCCGCCGCCGTGCCGGTGCTGGGTGAGGCGCGGAGCGCGGCCAGCAGCGCAAATCTCTCCATATTCTGTCGGCCTTCTCCCCCCAGCTCTGCGCGGGCAGCGTTCTGCCCCCGTTCCCCGGCACCGCACGCACCACGCGGAACAGGGCTCCTGGGCCCGGCTGCGTTCCTTGCAGCCCGGATCCGAGCGGCCGCTTCCCCGGAGACCCGAAGCACTCGAATCTCCGCAGTTTCTGGGGAGCGGCACTCGGACGCCGCTCAGAATCCCTTCGTACTTTCCGACAAGACCCCGCGAGCGCGCTGACGCGCCGCAGCTCCGCAGTGCACGGCCTGCTCCGCCCGCTGCCCCCCGCGGCTGTCCGCCTTCCCCGCGCTTCCCGGATCCCGACTCCTCCCGAGGCCCCTTCTGTCACCGTGTGACCCCCATCTCGTCCACCCCAGCACTTCTCGGTCCCGGTTCCCGCCGCCTATTTCTGCCCGTCAGCCCGTCTCCCTTCCCTCCCTCTTCTCCCTTGCATTTTCGGCCCGTTTGCTGCTCCCCTGCTGGCTGTATCCGCAGAGCTGACGGTCGGCTCGACGGCAGGACCTCGCCACCCCGCAGCGCTCCCTGCCCTCTCCCGCGCCCTGCTGCCTGCCTCCCCTCCCTGTGTTCTCGCATCTCGGCAGCGCACAGCCCTAATGGCTTGGGAGATGCCATTAATCTTTCCCTGACCGCAGGATCTTTTTTTCCCCTGATAATCTAATCTTTACTCAGGAGGAATGTCTCCACCAAGCCAATTAGTTCCCACCTACTCTAGTTTCTCTCTAACCCAAGGGAGCGCTTCTGCCATAAGCTAAGCGCTCTGCGACTCACCTGTTCCCTTTCCATGCAGCTATTCCTCTCCTCGGGAATCAGCACTATTTTTTATAGGTGCGTTTTTCCTCCACACCTCTGCATAGGTGAAGGTGAAAGCAGTTACAGGTCTTACACTTCTTACGCTGATCTGAATCCATCGGGGTGTTTGCAGGATAACAACCACTCACTGTTTCTTGTTTAGTTTCCTTTCACCTGTCTTTGAGCAAACACATGGGGATGCCAGTAGGCTACTTGGGGCCAGTAGTATTGACAGATCCCTGGCTGTGGATTTGCTTGTGCTCAGGACAGGGTATGCAGCCTGTCCCCATGTCGAGGCCCTTTTAAACTTGTGCCCACTCTGAAACAGCTACAGTGTAGGCACACTGAGTTGTTGGATTCGTTAGGATTGTTCACAGAAACATTCAGCCCCACGCCTTCACTGCAGCTGTTGATAGCGTTCATCACTGAAAGAAGTCCCGTTATATATCATACCAGCATCGTGCTAACAATAGGAAGTATATTTAGTTTTGGATATTCTTTAAGCTGTTCTCTCCCTTTGTATTTTGTTTGCTTTCTCAGCAAGACTCTAAGCTCTCCTAGTCGCTCCCCCGCCTCTGCTTACACTCACTGATACGCCACAGCCTCTGACTGATTGCTGTTTGTGTTTGTTTTGGACACTTCCAGATGATTGCTACTAATAACCAGCACTGAATTCCTGAAATATCTGCCCCATTCCTTCTACAAGGCAATTTCTTTATGGTCCATCATATGAAAAACACCAGGTCCTAGAAATACTGTGGGGCAGGAGAAGAATAACCTCCAAATGAATGGCTAGCTCTAACAAAGCGTTGTAAAAAGCCATCACACTGCATTCTGCATGCATCATCTACCGCATTTCAGCACGGGCCAAGCTCCTTAGTCAGCTCTCTGAGGGGAGCTAGCAGCAGCATGCTGCTGTCCCGTTGGGCTTTGGCTGTGTGCCGATGGCAGCAGGGCCGTGGCAGGGAGCAGCAGAGCAGGTCCATCACAGGGTGCACAGGACAGCCCAGAGACCTCGGTGGTTGTGTACTGGTCCTTCCAAGAATCAAAGCAGCTCTTAAGAGCTTCAGGGCTGGTCATCAACAGCAAACAACCAAAAGCTTGGAAGGTTTATGAAGTGTAACTAGAGCCGACAAGACGCAGACAGATAGCAACTTGGAATTGGTTTCTAGCTATTTCTATGCTTCAGTTTGGAGATAAAGATGAGAACTGGATTGTCTTTACGGTGCAGAGGATGCTGTCTTTCAGAGGAGAGAGCAGGCTCTGCTGGAGCTGATAGTTCCTTCAGCTCTGGTAAAAGCTTCTTGGCGTACAAAGAGCTTTATATTAAGCACTAATGGAGGTCATTAGATGTCGACATCCAATCTGGAAGCTTATCATAAACACAGAAAGTAACAAAGGTGGTGTTATTCAGATAACTTAAGGTTATCTCAACCGTAACGTAAACCTATGATATTACTTTTGTCATACGGAGAGGTACAGCCAGCCCTTCACTACCAGATACCATAGGTGGCACAACAGCTGTGTGACCTGGCAGCTCCCCCTTACCTCAGCCGGTGGCGGCCCAGCTGACTCTCAGGCCGGCTGGAGCACAGCGTGACACAAACAGCACAGAAAACATCCGGTGCTGGCTTACGTCCAGAAGGTGAAATGGTCTCTGTCACACAACGGGACGCAGAAACACGTCTGTTTGAAAGCAGTTCATTCCCCAAAGGGCAAACGTAGGGGCTGGACTAGTGAGCCAGCAAGGAGTAACTCCATAGCCTCCACCGTATACTCGAGTATGTCTAGGTGGTACGTTATCTTCAAACTTGTTTCCTAATGGCAGTTGCTTTTGTTGTCATTTGACTATGTTGAATTTCACGTGCTGCTTTGTCAGCG